TCTACAGCTCTTTAACTTCTACAGCTCTTTCACCTCTTCAGCTCTTTAACTTCTTCAGCTCTTTAACTTCTACAGCTCTTTCACCTCTTCAGCTCTTTAACTTCTTCAGCTCTTTAACTTCTACAGCTCTTTCACCTCTTCAGCTCTTCCATCTCTTCACCTCTTCACCTCTTCACTTCTTCACCTCTTTTCTTCACTCTCTTCAGTACTCCTTCATTTTCCCTTTCATTCCCCTTTTTATGAGAATTTTATTAGCGATCTAACCTCACAAAACCCCAAAACCAATGAAGAGCATCTTGCTCATCTTGAGAGAAGTTGTTGTCATAAATGAGGAAATGAGGAGGCACTTTCCCTCACTGGGTCGACTTGTGTCGAGGCTGTGTCTGCCCCACCGCATAACATATGTCCTCCACTCGTATTACAAACAAGTGTCCCGCTCCCTTCCCTTTCTCTACCCATTCCCCCCCCCTCCTAAAGTGTCAATTTGGACAGCCTAAATGGAGCATCGTGTGCTCCTAGAAATCACATTATCCCAATGACGATTAGCTTCAAGACAAATTACGCAAAACAATTGTCTCTCGAATTTGACGAGGAAAAAGTCAAGCACTTAAGTTCCAAAAAGCCAAACAAATGAGTTTTCCATTATTTACAAAACATTTTATTTTATGGGAACATTAGGGAAAAACTTAAGAAGCATTTAGAAAATCTTAGCTACTAGAAACATTTAGGGAAATCATGTAGGTGGCTGTGGAATAGGTGAATTCTTATTGTTGAGACCGGAAAAGCTGCCACTCGAGCATTATTCCATGCCACTCGCGCGTTTCCTGATTCGGACATCGAATGTAAAGAATGAAAAAGGGTTAGACAGCAGTCCATCGTGGGCAATCACCCTTCCTCTTCCCCGATTCACTGAGGACAATCGCGCGCAACCGTGTGAGTAATGGCGCCAATCGAGCATTCTACGGTAGTTGAGTGATGATTTGCTTTTACCCCTTTCATTCAACCCATTGTTTGTGCACCTAACTGACCCTGAATAGCATAATAAAGCTTTAGATGATTTTTTTTCCTGAACTTCAGATCTTCTTTAGTCATTTTTCTTGAAAGAAGCCCTTACGAAAGCCTGTGAAAGCCTGTGAGAGCCTGTGAAAGCGCCAGATTCCGCACCCATATCAAGTGTCGCTCTGATCCATCTGGGAAGACGGGGACGAAGTCAATTTCTGAAACCTGACCCTGCCTTTACCACAGCCCAATCCTCTCACAAATTTCAAGCAAATCTTCGCGCCATTGCTGGAAACCCATTTTCTCTCTTCAATCATTTCTGACCTAGTAATCCAATAAACGCATTATCATTGACGAGAAACGAGCAATTAAGCTGACCGAGCAATGACCAAGATGAAGTAACAGCTTGGCGTCAACATGGGGTCACCATCACCGTGATTACGCAAAAATTGGAATGTGTGGACACACTTGAAGATCTTTTCTTCTTGTCTTCTCTTCTTGTCTTCTTGTCTTCTTGTCTTCTTTTCTTCTTCTTTTCTTTACCATAATTAGGCAAACGAAGAGAAATCTCTAGCTTTCGATTCGGAGGAGCTGCATGGTCATAAATCTCAAATATCACTTGTTCAAATAAGATGGGTGAAATAGAGGCGCGGAACCAAAATCGCTGGCCTCCATTTGATAAGATTAGACGTGACAAGCATCCCCTTTTTCTTTCCTACACCCAAAATCGTTCATTTTTTTCTCTCTCTCTAATCATCCGTTCAAAACGAATATCGAAGTGTGGCAGAATCTTGATTAAATGATTGATTTCATAAATCCAAATCCACGAATCCAAAAGGATTCTGTTCTCGACTTATCTCTCTTTTTTGAAGCTTCTCTCTCAACAGATTCTGATCTCGACTTTTTCTTTTTCTTTCTTAAAAAATTTGACATAAAGTGTGTAAAAGAGTGGTCAAAAAGGCGGCAATTAATAGGAATTTCAGTTTTTCTCATGTCTTTTCCCCATTTCGGTGTTCCTAATCAAATCAAAAGAATGGTTCTGATCGACTCGAACAGATCTCGTCGAGAGAAAGAATGAAAAAGAAAATGGGGAAAGGCTCTCAAAGAGGTAAAGAGGCCAGATCAGTCACCACATCGGCCGTAAGCGTCTCGACAAATTTGCATTTGGTTTCCGACGGTCACCGCAAAAGAGTCAACTCTTTTCGTGTGCCCAAACAAGGTAGGTTGGTCTGAAAACAGAAAAGTTCGCTACTTTCTATCGTTTATCTCGATAAAGAGCTCTGATTGTAGTTTTTGAAAATGTTAAATTTCTCTCCGAACGGGCTGAGCGTTCAGGTGATGAGCCGGTCGAGCTGTCACTTGTGATGTGTGTTTCCGCGCATCAAATGTGGCGAAATGCGGGAAATGAATGGGGGTGTCGGAGTTTTCGAGGTGCAGAAAAGAGTGGGTGAGTCGAGAGCAAAATGGGGAGCACTGAGAAATTGACCGCCCATCGACAAGCGATTGAGAGGAAGAGCTGGCTAATTTGACGCCAAGGCCGCCAGAGGCCACACCACTAATTTTTGGGATCGCTTTCTGGAATCAAAGCTCTATATTCCATGCATACCAGGGAATTCCTTAAATTTCTGGAGGGATCTGATTCCGAGAAAACGGCAAACTAGCCTATTCAACGCGTTGACACGGGAAGGACAACAGGTCTAGATAGCTTAGTGGTTAGTGTGCTAAAGCGTGGTTCTGTTTCGAGGCTGCGCTCCCTGGTTCGAATCCGCTCTCGACCGGAGTTTTTGTTTTTTTTAGAAAAACTCTTTGGTAATCTCTTAAGTAAATCTCTTCACTAATCTCTTAAATCCGATTGCTCCTCAACTGTAACTTCAAGTCGATCCCTGGTCATCACTTTTCGGCCACTGAAAAACCACTTGGTGTATTCTAATGAGGAATTCTATAAATGCTTTTAAAAGTAAACCTGCTAAAGTTAGGGGTATTTTTTGTCAGCTATATTTTAGCTATCAGCTATGATCAGCTATGATCAGCTATGATCAGCTATGATCAGCTATATTCTAGCTATCAGCTATGATCAGCTATGATCAGCTATGATCAGCTATGATCAGCTATGATCAGCTATATTCTAGCTATCAGCTATGATCAGCTATGTTTTTATCCCAAACCACTATCACTTTGAGCCAAATCCAAACCCTTCCCCCCCAGTTAGTTTCCGTCTCAAAGTAGAGCAAGTGGAGGAGAAATCGTTTTTTGTTTCGTGAAATTTCACGGAGAAACTGTAAATGATTTGAGTGCGAGATGGGGGAGTGCTAAACGGAGAGCGCGTTCATGCGTGTAATCACAGAGCGCACAATAGGCGAGCCCTAATGCGCGCTTGACTAACAGTTCATCCTCCAGAAAAGACTCTGGAAAATGAGAAAGAAAACTCTTTCTCACTTTGTCAATTTTGTCACATTTTCCTCAAGAAATCTGTCGATCGATGGCTCCTTTTTTTCCTCTCTCTCTCTCCTGTTTATAGACAATTATGCTCAGAAAGGTGAGCATTTATTTGAGGAATCGGCTAAATAACCTTGAAGAATTGAATTGTTAACTTAACTTAACTCGAAAAGAATTGTTAACTTTTTCTTGAGTACCCCAAAAGCTATGCACTTGAACAAGTATTTGTGGGAATTGGGGAGGCAAGTGGATGCACGGAGAGTCCATAAAAGGCTTGTCGAATGGTGGAATGATGACTTGTAATGAAAAGAGAAAAGGGGGAAAAGGAGAGATCCCCATCAACACATGGCCCGCTGAATTCTGAGGAGGAGGTTGGGTCAAATTTCGGTGCTGAATTAGCTTCAATGAAGTGCTCAAAATTTGGGTATTTCTTCATTGTTTTTTTATTAGATCCAAGATCTTTCAAAAACAAAAACAAAGCAAACATGTTGTCTATTTATTGCTAGATTTCTTTGTCTTTAAAAGTCTTTAAGCCAAGCTGTTTCCAGAGGAGGAAAAAGAGGGAAGCGCTCTTTGAAATCAACTTTACGTGTGAATTCGGACGCGTGGCAACACGATTTGTGAAGAGAAGAGGGGAGGGAGAGAAGAAGAAGAAGAAGAAGAAGAAGAAGAAGAAGAAGAGGAAGAAGAAGAGGAAGAAGAATTCTATCGGAAAACTCTTCACACCTATACAGTAGATTTTCAATAAACTTTGATTTACTAAACTAAACAAGACTTATCCTATGTACAACACCTTTAATTAAACTTTTTCTATCTTTAAGCCTCAAGTGTCATTGGAAAAATATAACTTAAACAAAAGAATTGCAGAGAAATCTTCGCCCAATTGTTTGTCAAAGTTTGAAAAGATGAGTAAAGCGAGAAAAATATTAGTGATCCCCGATCCTTCACACGTTTTTCTCTTCAACTTCTCTACCGTAAACAGTAGGTAGAAGAGATGGGGGAATTGGTGTGAAAATCGACATTTTCCCCGACAGCGATTCAAGTCGGTAGCCGAGAGAGCCATCAAGGTGTGATAAGGCCATTTCAAGCACACAACACACCGCTCCTTCAGCGGCACTCAGGTGATAAGTTTATTAGCTGTGAAGAGTCACGACTGGCCCCGATTCATAGATGGAGGGAAAAACTGAGTTTTTAGATTTTTAGAAATAAATGCTTAGCGGGAAAAGAAAAAGGGAAAAGAAGAGAAAAGATGGGATCAGCTGTGAGCTGAGGATCGATGGCTGTACCGTAGATGATGGGGTGGAGCAAAAGGGGATCCAATGGTGGCAGAGATCCCCGCCCCTCCCCCTTTTTCACCACACCCCCTTTCTCTCCTTTTCCCCCCGCCCCATCTACAAGTGTGAGGTGTCAATTTCGGCAGTTGGACTCCCGGGCTTCCGTCACTTCATTTAAACTCTGTATTCGTATTCTTCAATCAAGCCTATTGTTCTCACTAATTGTTCTCACTTTTCATTGATTTGAAAGCTTCTTTTTAATACGGAAGCTTTTACTCGTGAAACGCCTCAATGGCGGCTTTCAATCCCTTCCTGGCTAGGTTGGTTTTATTTTTTAATGATTTTTTTTCAATGATTTTCAATGATTTTTAAAGATTATCAAATTATCTACTGCTTTCAACATCTTGCTTTCGTATTATTAGTGTTTCTAATGTACTCAAATATTCCCTAAAAGCTATAGTGATTTCGCAAAATACCGCTTAAGCCTAGTTTTCTCCTAATTAGTCAATAAAGCTGCCAAGAAAAAAAAGTCTGTTACTTTTATTTTAAGCCATAATTTATCACCTTAATTTTCTAGAGACTGGAGAGATTTTCTGGAGTTTTACTTATAAATCAACATATTGTTTCTAAAATGTTTGTATAAATGTAGAACTATTTTGACAAGTCTAAAATTTGATTTTTAAAGATTTCCATAGAATCTATAGATAGTTTTAAAAGGCTTAAGGATCTTTAGTTGAATATCTTTAGTTGGATATCATTAGTTGAATATCTATGTGTTATCTGAATATCATTAGTTGAACATCTTTAGTTAAATATCTATATGTTTCCAAATTAAATTTAGAAATGAGATCATAAAGAAATCGTTGAGTTTAAATGATTGTATCGAGAACTGAATGCTGGCGTAGTAAGGGATAAGGCATTCTGGCCGCTAGCTGGTATATGTCGGTGTAGCTCATTGGTAAAGCGTTCGCCTGGTAAGCGAGAGCCGGCCCGGGTAGGCCTGGGTTCGGATCCCATTACTGCTATCTTTTGTTTTTCAGCCTCAACCCATAAAAGGACCATATCTAAACCTTTTACATTATAAAAAGGCTTAATATATCAACCTTGAGCTAAAGTTGTCAAATGATTAGTGTATTATTTGGTTTAATACATACAGCTTCTTTTATTTCGACAAATAGATCTGATTATCGATAGCGTCACTTTTGAGTTTTGTTATCATGGTTTACTTTTGATTTGTTTTGATTAACACAGTTTTTTTTTAAATTATTCAACCATACTTTTCCTGTTTTTGAAGTTATTTAGCTTTAAACATTTAAAATTTTGATTTTTTTGAGACCAAAAACATTATCAAAAGCTGAGATCCATTGATTTTGTATAAAATTTTGAATGAGATCACCCAGGGAAGCAGGGAATGACCCTCGACCAGCTAATTACAAGGATAGATCATAGTGCTTTTTGTTATCAATCTTTTAGAATAGCTTTTAAACCATTAAAATATACTTTTCTTTGCCCTGGCAGCAAAATCTTACTTTCCAGACCAGACCTGGCCCTTCTACCCTTGATGGGCCAATTCCCGAATCTTGCCGGTCCAACGGGCTTCTTCCCGAGGATCCCCACCGAAATCGCCGAACTCTCGCAACCTCCACAGGTATTCAGCATTGCTCTTTCTCTTCTTTTTTTGAAAAAGAAATTAAAGCCACCCCGACCGTGTGAGGATGACGGTGTCGAAGATCATCCTCAAGTTGAACTCGACGATCAAGAGCTATGGAGAAGTTTCTCCTCAGCTGGCACCGAGATGGTGATCACGAAAAGTGGAAGGTTTGTGGAATAGGAAACATTCGGTATATCTATAACCATTACTCATTTGCATAGTTGTCTGGGAAGAAAAAAGCAAATTTCTAAAATGAAATGCTTAAAACCAAATGCCTAGAACTAAATGCCTAAAACTAAATGCCTAGAACTAAATGCCTAGAACCAAATGCCTAGAACTAAATCCTAATCAAATCGTTCCAGTTTTGGAAAACTATGTCTAAAGATTTAAAATCGAGAATGAAGGGGAGTTTTTTCAAAAAAAAGAGTTTTCTCGGGGATTTTCGTGTGGCTAAGCGGAGACTTTGCTCGCGTGAGGCGCGTTTTTCAATGATTCCCCACAAGGCCATGCAAGGATCAGAAGAAAATAGCTCCTCAACAACTGTTTAATTCACCACCCTCTTTCACAACGATTGACACAAATTAAAACGTAAAAACAAAAAACTTTAGACGAATATTCCCGGCTTTCAAAGTGAAGCTTTCCGGTTTGGACAAGAAGAGTAAGTACACTCTTTTGATGGACATTGTGCCAGCAGATGAGTGTCGATATAAATTCAATAACAGTCGATGGATGGTTGCCGGAAAGGTGAGTGGATTTATGAAGTGTTTTAGAAAGTGTTTAGAAAGGGTTTTAGAAAGTGCTTAGAAACATTTTGAAACTTGGGGGAATCAAAATTAGGTGACGAGTGAAGGTGTCAGTCCATATTTCACTCTAGAAAACGTTCGTTCAATGTCTACAGTGTTAAATCGAGAGAAAGAGAAAGAGAGAGAAAGAAAGAAAGAGAAAGAGGAAGAATCAGAAAGAAAGAAAGAAAGAGAAAGAAAGGCGTTCCACGGTTGTCGACCAATCAATCTCCGAGCATTGTCATGTTGTTTTGAATGGATTTAAGGGAAGAAGAGGGGATTGACGAGGGTGAAAGAGGATATGGAAAAGGGTATTCAGTGAGAGGAGGCCGATATGATCTCCGTGGCGGCAGGCGGCTCTGTCAAATTGCTCAAATTGTCACTCGATTTCTCCATCTCCATCTCTTTTTCACAAAAAAAACGGGCCATTTATTCTCTTGGATTCCCCATATCACACAGTCAAATCGACAAATGACCACCACATTCATACAATCAAAAAAAAAAAAGATTTAGAATTGTCTAAAGAGCTGGGAAATTCTTGTCTAAAGTGTAGAAAACCTTTCTGACGATATAGAGAATTCATTTCAAAACTAATTTCCTCTTTTAGGCAGATCCCGAAATGCCGAAGAGGATGTACATCCACCCAGACAGTCCAGCCACTGGAGAACACTGGATGGCTAAAGGAGCCAACTTTCACAAGCTCAAACTCACCAACAACATGGCCGACAAGCACGGATTTGTGAGTATCTTTTCCGTAAAAGCTTTTCACTGTTTGTCTACGGTATCAATTTGCGCGACAATCTCTTGCATCTCTTGCATCTCTTGCATTTCTTGCATCAATCTCTTCAATCAATCTCTTACATCAATCTCTTGCATTAATCTTTTTCCCCGATTTTCAATCAGTTGCCTGAATTACGAACATAAAGAATGGGGGGAAAAGAACGAGAAGCACGTGTCGCATTTGTCTCTTTCGAGTTCGAGATCTTTATGAGTGAATGTGTGATACGGTGATGAGAAGGGGTGATGAGAAGGGGTGGATCTTGTCGAGTGTCTTCTTTTCCTCAACTTCTCCACCCAACATATCCTGTGGAGGTGCAAGAAATCTCGCGGCTCGATGTCACAAGTGTCCGATGTCGGCTCCTCTTCGAGTACCTCTCAAAGCATCTGGGAAATCTGTCACCCAGTTGCACAAACACAGAGAAAGGAAAAAGTCTCGATTCCTTTTTCCCCTTTCTCGAAACTGATACTTTCCCTTTTGTGCGCTTTCTTCCCAAATACCGTAGTCAAAAAGGCGCTGTAAGTAGAGATGTGTTCGTGAAAACAATAAGAAAGACGAAACAATGAGAAACGATGCGAAACGATTTCTCTTTTCAGACAATTCTCAACTCAATGCACAAATACCAGCCTCGATTACACGTCGTCCGCTGTGCCGAGCTCATCCAATTGCCTGTCTCGACTTTCAAGACTTTTGTCTTCAAAGAAACCGAATTTATCGCCGTTACCGCCTATCAAAACGAAAGGGTAAGTGTATTAAAATTTGAAATGTTTCAAAAAAAAAAAAAAAATTAATGAAGATTCCGATCATCAAAAATCTGTTGTCTAAGAAAATGGGTGAGAAATGCGCTTGGATTTCGCACAGCTGTGATCGCTGAATACTATATAGCCATTCTCTCTTTTGGCATCTCTCTTTTGGCATACGAAAATTTGACCTTCGAAAAATCCGTCAAATTTGGCACGCTGAAAACCCAATTCCCCTATTTCTCTTCAATAAATACTCAAGCAATTTTCTTCTCCACATCGTTTAAGGCTATTATATTGGGATTGGATATGCCTTTCTGCTTCTTTCTTTCTTTTTCTGCTTCTTTCTTCTTCTACATCTTTCTTCTTCTATTTCTTTCTTTTTCTACTTCTTTCTTTTTCTACTTCTTCCTTTTTCTACATCTTTCTTCTTCTGCTCCTTTCTTTTTCTACATCTTTCTTCTTCCACATCTTTCTTCTACATCTTTCTTCTTCTACTTCTTTTTTCAATCATTCAAGAATTTGATTTTTTGATTGGAAAACAATTGCTGAGAATTTTTGAGAATAGCTTGAATCTCGAATCTCGAAATCTCGAAAAAATCGATTAGAATTTGAAATGAAGGGATTTTACAAGGTGTGTTTTCCATGGCGCCCGTTGCCACACATAAAGTGAGGCCGAGTGGAGAAAGAGAAAAGGAGAGAAGAGTCGGTGCGCGAAATAAAATCCCCCAAATTATGGCACAAAGCATCTGTCTCGATTACGGTACTCTTTCGTCGGCAAAATTCGCCGCAAATCAAAGCACTCCGTTCCCACGATCGTTTAGCTTAAACTGGGGAAAGTTTGAAACGATCACAACAATATCTAAACCTTTTGCATTAACCAAACATTTAAGAATAACACCTTTAACAAGAGGGAAGCTGTACTTAAGAATAACATCTTTAAGACAAGAGGGAAACTGTACTTAATCACAATTAAAGTCGCCCAGCTCATAACTCTTTCTCTTCTCCATTCTCCCCTCCTCCCTTCAAAAAAGCAGGCTTATTGGTTTGTGCCATGGATCGATGCCTGTCCCAGGGCTCATCCATCAGGTTTTTCTATCGAACACGGTGTAAGATCTCACACGGCTCAAAACGAAAGACAACTGGCACCTTGTCTTGTTGTACACGGATATCACCACCCCATTCCATTGGCTCTTCACTTCTCACTGGGCTCTTGTATCCTAAAATCGGTTTAATAACGGGTAAACCTTTTTCCATTCAACTGAGGCTTAAAAATTGTATTTCTTTACACGAATAATATGGTACAAAACAGTTCTAAATATAGAAAAGAAAAAAAACCCAGCCGGCAGGATCGAACCCTCGATCTCTCGACCGAGATACGAGACCCTTAGCCAGTCGGCTATAACTACGGTCTAACAGGCCCCGGAAAAGCTGGCTAAGTTGTGCCTGAAGGCGCTGGCTGAAGGCGAAAGAATATGATGGATTAGCGAGACACTCAAGGAAATTTGAGAAAAGGGAAGCTGAATGAAATGCCCACTCTACCGTACTCACTAATATTTACCCTTAAATGGCATCCCGTCGAGACAAGTGCCATAATCAGTAATTTTATCCCACCTCTCTCCATATCTCTAAAAGCTCTCGTTTATTTAACGATAACTCGCAAACATCTAGCTAAGTTGTGGGGAAATGGGTGGGGATAAGTGCCGCGTAATGCCTATGCAAATGGAGCTCTCACCCAGTAGATGGAGAAGGCTCAAGTTACCGTCAACAGATTAGACTTTCGCTCTTTCTCTCTCTCTCTTTTTCTCAAAACTCCATTCCAGGTGACGCAGCTCAAGATCGACAACAATCCGTTTGCAAAAGGATTTCGCGATTCAGGAGCAGGGAAACGCGAGAAAAAACGGGTTATGCAGGTTTGAGTGTTTTTGGGAAAGAGTTTTGTAAATTGAAAATTAGAATGGCTCTCTTGGACATCCACCTCGAAGTGATCAAAGTGAAAGTGGAAGCAGTCCTCCTCCAAAGGTTTGAGCACAATTTGAGCACAATTTGAGCAGAGTAAACCATTTTTGTTTATTCTTTCTTTATTGTTTCTTTTGCTTCTAAATACTAAACAATTTTTAGTCTTCGCCGGATCGACGAGCTGATAGCGCGGGACCTGACGAGGAAGACTCCGATGAGGAAGAGAGAGGACCCGCACCCAAACGAGTAAAGCAAGAACAACCCACGCATTGCCCTGTCAATCCAATAACTGGTTTATTTACAATTCTTTATTTAAATTATTGTTTTCAGGGATCGGCCCTCCTCCAGGATTACCACATCGAGCCATGCAACCTCCGCATGGACTTTTCCCTTTCATGATGCCTCCTCCAGAAGTTCTCTACTCTCAACTATTGGCTCAATGGCATGCTCACAATCACATGCTGCAACAGACTTTCAATTGTAAGTGAAAGAAAAGAGTTTTTGGAAAGACTATTACTTGCTGAATCCTAGCTTAAGTGCTGAATGAGCTGCTGGATCCCGTAACTTGTAACCAAGTAATAGGAACCTGCTGAATCCTAGCTTAAGTGCTGGATGACCTGGATCCCGTAACTTGTAACCAAGAAGGACCTGCTGAACCTAGCTTAAGTGCTGGATGACCTGGATCCCGTAACTTGTAACCAAGTAATAGGAACCTGCTGAATCCTAGCTTAAGTGCTGGATGACCTGGATCCCGTAACTTGTAACCAAGTAATAGGAACCTGCTGAATCCTAGCTTAAGTCCAGCAACCGTTGAGCAGTTTAAAATGAAAAATTTTACAGCAGCTGCAGCAGCAGCCGTTGCAGCAGCAGTGCCAGCAATGTCAACCTCATCCCCATCAAACAATCTTCCAATGAAGAGCCCAAAAAAAGAAGAGTCTCAAAGTATTCGAAAGGGTTTTGGTGTTTGTGACCTCCTCGCCAAAGAATAATTCATAGTCTTATCTAGTTTTTTTCTTCGCTCTTTCCATCATTATCCCAAAAAAAAGAGATCCAGGTTCCTTGCAATGTACAATATCGTATTCCACACAGCGGGTCTATTTCTATTTTTGTATATCTCATTCGTTTCTCCTCGCCGACTGTGAAACTTTGTTTTTTGTGCCAATTTACAAAACGAAAACGAAACGATTCTTCATTATTTTTATGAATTACATCTATTTTCCCCTTTTCTAAAGCAATGCGAACCTTTTCTAAAGCCAGCAATGCCAACCTTTTCTAAAGCCAGCAATGCGAACCTTTTCTAAAGCCAGCAATGCGAACCTTTTCTAAAGCCAGCAATGCCAACCTTTTCTAAAGCCAGCAATGCCAACCTTTTCTAAAGCCAGCAATGCCAACCTTTTCTAAAGCCAGCAATGCCAACCTTTTCTAAAGCCAGCAATGCCAACCTTTTCTAAAGCCAGCAATGCCAACTTTTTCTAAAGCCAGCAATGCCAACCTTTTCTAAAGCCAGCAATGCCAACCTTTTCTAAAGCCAGCAATGCCAACCTTTTCTAAAGCCAGCAATGCCAACCTTTTCTAAAGCCAGCAATGCCAACCTTTTCTAAAGCCAGCAATGCCAACCTTTTCTAAAGCCAGCAATGCCAACCTTTTCTAAAGCCAGCAATGCGAACCTTTTCTAAAGCCAGCAATGCGAACCTTTTCTAAAGCCAGCAATGCGAACCTTTTCTAAAGCCAGCAATGCGAACCTTTTCTAAAGCCAGCAATGCGAACCTTTTCTAAAGCCAGCAATGCCAACCTTTTCTAAAGCCAGCAATGCCAACCTCATCCCCATCAAACAATCTTTCAATGAAGAGCCCAAAAAACGAAACGATTCTTCATTATTTTTATGAATTACATCTATTTTCCCCTTTTCTAATCAACTATTTGATTTTTTTGACAAACGGGCTTTATTTAGCTTTTAGAATTAGAATTAGAAATTTCTGTGTATATATTCAAGAGTTCAATAATTTCTAAGAAATTATTGAAAGAAAAGAATTCAATAATTTCAATAATTCTAAAGATTCTAAGAAAGAAATGACATATTTAGAATATAAATATCAAAAGATTTCCTTTTCCCTGACATACCATGTGCAATGTTTTGTGCTTTTGTTTTGAATTTGACTTCTTTTTTTCTATTTTTTTCGATTTTTTTCTATTTTTTCTCTGCTAACTATGTGAAATCATAAGCATTCCCAGTGATAAATGAGTTTATTTTGAAATTTGTTTATTTCTTTTCATTTCTTTTCATTTTCTTTTCATTTTCTTTTCATTTTCTTTTCATTTTTTAAATAGCTTTGAGCAAAGAATAGTTTTACGGCTTGATTTGAAGGTGAATAAATGAAGTTTCTTTATCTTTTCCTTTAATATTTCAAAATAAACACACTTGAATACTTTAAAAGAAAACGATCAATGTTTAATCGGTAAATTTATTTGATCAATCAATGACTTTCTATAACCGAAACACGGCTGCGTTTCATTTCTTTTCCTTTTTTAAATAGCTTTGAGCAAAGAATAGTTCTTGATTTGAAAGTGAATAAATGAAGTTTCTTTTGTTTCTTTATCTTTTTCTTTAATATTTCAAAATAAACACACTTTCAAGTACTTTAAAAGAAAACGATCAATGTTTAATGGATAAAGAGATCCAGGTTCCTTGCAATGTACAATATCGTAAATTTGTTTGATCAATCAATGACTTTCTATAGCCGAGACACGGCTGCGTTTCATTTCTTTGAATCAAAAATAAAATTTTCGTACAAACGATTATCTCAGTTGAGTCAATCACACAGATTTGAGAGAATATATTGTTGGACAAGCAAGCTGACAGACAAGCTGCACAAATAATAGCACCCCGTTTGCCACAATTTTCGAGGCACTTCGCGCGATTGTTTCTCGTGAAAAGACACACTTTTTTCGAGTCAGAGATTTCATTTCATTTCAAAAACGATTTCAGGGATCGGTTTGCATCATTGAAATGAAAATTGGTTTGACTTGGGGATCGAGTTTTCCATTTGTAACAAGTTTTGTGTGATTAAGAATTGATAATTGATAATTGACAATTGATAATTGACGATTGATAATTGATAATTGACAATTCATAGATCAAGAAATGAATAAGTTTGCTTGATTCTTGAAATAAGGAATGACAGATTTAGTCTCTAACGATCGAGACTCGATTAAAGTGTTATATAACTTTAGCCAGCTATTCAGCTAAGTTATTCAAGATATTTTCCATTTTTCTTGACAAGATTACGGTACTTTTTCTCGGGTGGAGCGTTTTAGAAGACGAGAAACAACCTCTACTAACTCTACTAACACTGTGGTTCTCTAAAGATTAAGTAAGTCACTCAGTAAGTCAGTAAGTCAATAAGTAAGTAAGTAAGTAAGTAAGCAAGTCAGTAAGTAAGTAAGTAAGCCAGTCAGTCAGTAAGTCAGTAAGTAAGTCACTAAGCAAGTCAGTAAGTCAGTAAGTCAGTAAGTCATCATGTAAGCAAGACAGTAACACAGGATCAAGTAAGTAAACCCCAAGCATTAGCCTTATAACCAATCCAAATCTACCCGACACAATTACGCAGCGGTTCTGGGTTGTTGAAAATTTTTACGAGGCGGCTCTCCATCAGTCATGCGAGGTCACAGGCTCCTTTTCAAGATGGCCGCCGATTTATGGCGGTTGATTGAGATCGAGTGTCTTTTCCTTCCGGCTCACCCCTTTTCTTTTCTTCTAAACCCCCATTGAAACGCATGAAATGACTCTCATCTTTTTCAAAAATCATTCCAAATCTTTATCCCGATTTTTTGACAAGAAATTAGACTCTTATGAAGACGAAGATGAAGACGAAGAAGAAGAGGAAGAAGAAGAGGAAGAAGAAGAAGAAGAAAAAGAGGAAGAAGAAGAGGAAGAAGAAGGTGAAGAAGAAGAAGAGGAAGAAGAGGAAGAAGAAGAGGAAGAAGAAGAGGAAGAAGAAGGTGAAGAAGAAGAAGAGGAAGAAGAAGAGGAAGAAGAAGAGGAAGAAGAAGAGGAAGAAGAAGGTGAAGAAGAAGAAGAGGAAGAAGAAGAGGAAGAAGAAGATGAAGACGAAGATGATCTGGATGGATGTAAAATGATTGAGATCTTGACGGAGATCTTGATTGATCACCTTTTACAGCTTTTGTTAAGCATTTAAAATATGAAGTGGCATTTGAAATGTTTACAAAATAGTCTTAGAACTACAAAAGTCAATTCTTACAGTAATCAGCAATTATTAAGCACTTTTTATTTACTTTATCAAATTGTGGCAAAGACCAAAATCGGATGGGAAAACGCGGAAATTTCGGTTCTCTGTTTGTCATCGAATGGTGTCAGCAGAGAGCGTGTAATCGGACATTCATTGAGAATCGGGAAAAGAGAGAATCTTTTCATTTGATCTCTCTCATTGCGAGTACGGTATTCTTTGGCGACTTTTTGCGCCCGTTAATGCCCCCTGGTGTGACAACGAGACGAGCACTCAGCCCCGCACACACAACAAATAGACCACTCTCTCAACTCATTTTCATCTGAATTTGATAAGCTCATCAGCTTCGAGAAACATTGGTACTTTGTAAATGTTTGAGTGAGGAAAATGATCGATGTGATTGATCAGAGAAAAGAGGGGCTCTCAACTTGGCACTCAATTACGAGTTTCTAGATTTAATCTATCTGATCGATCACTTCTTTTGATTGTCTATAGATTTGCTTACAATGGTCCTTTGGCGACTTGAAAAGATTTTGAAAGGAAATTGACATTGGGTATTGTATATCCTACATTTGTAAGATGCTAAATGGATGCAGATCGAAGATTTAGATCAAGGAAAGTTGTCCAGGTAAGCTTGTGAAAGCTTGTGGAAGCTTGTGGAAGCTTGTGGAAGCTTGTGGAAGCTTGTGGAAGCTTGTGGAAGCTTGTGGAAGCTTGTGGAAGCTTGTGTTTAGATCTGAATTGATCTAATTGGAAAACTGTTCAATTTCCATTTGAAGTGTTCAAACGTCTCACCACAAAGCGACTTTATTACATTGTTATTGAGGAAATTCGTGTGAACCGGTTCAACCACCTGGTGGAGCTGGTGAAGTCTATAAAAGAAAGATTGAGGGGTCAAATCAAGCGGCGTCTTAGAAGTCAAAAAGGACATCAAGTAGCATGAAGAGATGATGACAGAAAAAGGAAAAAAAGAAAAAGAAAGAGATTGTAGAGTTGATATGCAAACCACACTTCTTTATGAGGGATAGGTTTTTTGGGGGAAATGGAAAAGGGAATAGAAAAGGGAATCGACCTCTCCATTCGTCATAAAAATATCGCCGCGCTCATTTTACACTCATAATCTTTAAAAACGTCTTCATTTTTGAAAATAATTTCTATATTATTCTAGGGTTTAAATTAAAGCAAAATAATGATTTATCTGCTTGTGTTTAATCTGAAATTTATGCAATGAGAAAATTCGAAAATCTGAATCTTTGAATGTTCACTAAATTTTCACTTAGACTACACGACTTTACGCTTAAAATACCGTTGTCGTGAATGTGTTAAAAAGGTGATAATCGAATCTGTGAATTGAATAGTAACTAGAAATCATCGAACGACTGAAATGAAACGACTGAAATCAACTACTGTAACCCGTTCGTGTTAGTGTTTTCCGTCTTTTTTTTGTCCGTCTCAAACTCATCATTTAATCAAGAACCCTTCTCGATCTTTTCGAGAAATTCCCCAAGTTAGAAGTTGGAAGTGGGGAAGAAGTTGGAAGTGGGGAAGAGGTTGGAAGTGGGGAAGAAGTTGGGGTGAAATTCTTGGAAGTGGGGAAGAAGTTGGGAGTAGGGAAGAAGTTGGAAGTGGGGAAGAGGTTGGGAGTGGGGAAGAGGTTGGAAGTGGGGAAGAAGTTGGGGTGAAATTCTTGGAAGTGGGGAAGAAGTTGGGGTGAAATTCTTCCAAAAAAAACATTCCACCGTCTACTTGAGCTATTTTCCCCATAAGGAGTGTTATTTTTGATGATAAGTGCTCAAGCGGCGATTGAGCATTACGCAATTCTCTTCTCACGAATGACATCCGACACGGGAGTCACACAAAAATTGAGAAAAAGTAGATTGTGTTTAAAGAGAGACAGAGAGAGAGAGACTTGTGACCTCCTCGATCACTCTTGCCCATCAATTGAGGAACTGACTTTTCTTCTATTGGACGGCTCACATTGTCTTTATGACCTCGAGAATCATATGGTAAAGTAAAATAGAGAAAAGGGGATCAAAAAGAAAACAACGGTATGTAAACATTTAGCTTTACAGCTATTCAGCTATTCAGTTATTACTGTAAAATATTGCAGTTAGAGCTGCTGCAGCTTTAGAGTACTGTATCCACTAAGAGTACTGTATCCACTTTAGAGTACTGTATTCACTAGATCAGCAAAACTATCGTAAGGGTTAACAGATCCTGTACTGTAGCTATAAAATAGAATCAGAAATTCGGTTCCTGTTCGGATTCCTATTCGATACCTATTCAGTTCCTACTCAATTCCTATTTGATACCTATTCAGTTCCTATTCAATTGCTATTCAATTCCTATTCGATACCTATTCAATTCCTATTCAATTCCCATTCGATTCCCATTCGGTTCCTGTTCATCGCAGTTCATCCTGTTCAAATTTTGTCAAATTATTAAAGTTCGAATTCGGTAAGAAATGCGGCACCTTTAGGTGACGGATTAGATAATCTGATTGGTGGAAAGCCGTTTGAAAAAAGAGGAAGAGCATATTGTGGCAATTAGCGCCTTTTCCCCCTTCACTCGTCAAATCCCTTGTCTCCAGGTGAAACGACCTGTGAACGGCTTTTTCAGGTCGCATTTCAAAGCGGCCCTTTTCCTATATGGATTCAACATCTGTCTCCTCTCTTTCTCCTCACCTGCGCCCCAACCAGAGTCCAGGGGAAATTCATGAATCTACCATATATAAAGCAGAAGAGACGTCTGTCAAACGCACGTCTGTCAAACGGATGTCTTTCAAACGGACGTCTGTCAAACGGACGTCTGTCAAACGCACGTCTGTCAAACGGACGTCTTTCAAACGGACGTCTGTCAAACGGACGTCTGTCAAACGGACGTCTGTCCGTCTGTGCGCAGCCATTGGCAAAAAGGAGCGGGGCTTAGATTGCGTGGAAAACGTGGGGAGCTTTCCAGTGGTAAAACGCGAACGTTAGTTTTGCCGCTGGTTGGTAAACAAAATTCTATCAGTGATTCTTTCAAACAATGAGCAAAATTTTCCCAATTCCGCTGGTAAAAATCCTCTTAATACAAATCATTGTGTCTCGAGCTTTTCCCTAAACATTATCTGATTAATCTCTCGTTGAATATCAATAGAAATTTTCTTGATATAAATGCAGTCAATGCAAATAATTGTGGTATGCGGTAGGTTTATGAAATCCGTTTGCCAAGGGAGTGATCTTGCCTAGAAAATCTTTTGCGTATCACATGAGCGAAAAGGAGATCATTGTTTGTGGATCAACAAGAAACACGGGAGAGAATATCGTTTTCTCTTTTGCTTTCTCTTTTGCTTTCTTTTCGCTTTCTCGAAAATTCCTACAATCTGTTTTCCATGTGTTTTCCATGGCCATGGCCATCATTTTCCCCTTTCTCTATCATCTACACTTACCTGGCCTCGGTAAACGGAGAGGTCGAGTTGAGAAAGTATTTAGGGACCCCATTCCATCACAGTTGCCCAAGTTTTCAAGTACATCTCGCTTTTTCTTCTGCTTACGGACAGTTTGTATCTCTGATTTTTCATTGATCCCAATTTAAAATTTTAAAAAAGTTGAATGGCATTACGGGGGATCGAACCCGGATCATGGGGGCTGTAAGGAAGCGCGCTCTCAACTGCGATAGGGTAACCCGGTCAGAAAGATCTACTGTTAAGTGGGTCTTTCAGCTGATAGTATTTATAAATGAAAGTAAGATTTAACTAGCTTTTTAAGCCTAAGCCATTGCCATTGCCATTGCGTGAAACGTTAGATTCTAAAATCTAAAATCTAAAATGCATCTAAAAATTTTCATTGAATGCCAATTCTTTTGTTTATTCTTTATTTAATCTTGCGTAAATTCTATAAAATTTCAGACAAAAACCATGCATTTGTTGACGGTTTTGTTGCTGAGCGGTTTGATGGGACTGGCGTTTGCCTGGGATTTGTATGCAATGGATTTGAGATCTCTTCTCACGGACAAGGACACCCGCAACAAGCTCAAAGATCTCAGCAACAAGAAAGACATGCCAAGGTGCGTAAATGATATAAAATGATGTTTGAAAAAAGAGAAAATGAAAATGTTTGAAAAAAAAGAAAAATTTCAATATCTATATCCAATCTATATCCAAAAGGTGTACCAAATAGATGTCAGTAAATACAGTAGAAGTCAGTAGATACAGTAGAAGTCAGTAGATACAGTAGAAGTCAGTAGATACAGTAGAAGTCAGTAGATACAGTAGAAGTCAGTAGATACAGTAGAAGTCAGTAGATACAGTAGACGTCAGTAGATACAGTAGACGTCAGTAGATACAGTAGATGTAAATACAGTAGAAGTAAATATACAGTAAAATCGAAATCATTCAATGACTCTAAAGATCAAATTTCTTTAAAATCATCTTCATTTTGTTTATTTTTGGTATCACTCACTCGCTCTCTCTCCATCTTTTTTGTGATTGATGAGGCTTGAGATGTTCTGTAAGGTAAACAGATATGTAATCCCGTAAAGTCATCAAATTCTCGAAAAATCTTGAAAAATTTCATGAAAAACCAAGTTTCTTGATAAAAACAGAAAGAATAAGAGTCAATTTTTAGAACTCAAATGCAACAACAACTTCAACAACTCTTGCAAATGCAACCACAAATGGTTCAAGTGAGTACTGTAAAGTTGTTGCGAAAAAATCGACTTTAGCAAACTTTCCAAACGGTCATGCGAGCCAAGGATCAATTCTACAATCAGCAAATGCAACAGAAAATTCAACAAGTGAGGAAAAAAGCTAAAGTATAAAGAAATAAAGAAATTGTATATCAGAAAAATTAGATTTCGGGAGAAGGGATTGAACCCTAGATCCTTCGCATTGCTCTAACCGCTGAGCTATCCGGTACCTTAAATTGGCTAGAGAAAAAGGGAAAGACAAGGGAGAAGAAGAAAAAAGAAGAAAAGAAACGTAGATGAGGGGATTGAACCCTCGACCGTCCGCTTCCCAGGCGTCGTAGCTCTAACCACTGAGCTATCTAGTACCCTAAATCTAGAAGATAAAGAGGGAAAGACAAGGGGGACGAAGAAAAAAAGAATACCCGGATCTTCAAAAACTTGTGACTTTATAGGCACAACAGATGGGTCTTGGACAAATTTGGCAACAAATGCAACAAATTGATCAGTAAGATTTTAAAATTTCATCCTTTAAAGTACATTTTCACTTACCCAGTTATACTTGTTTTGATTTTATTTGAATTTTTACTATACCCACTTTAGAAACCTCTCCCTTACCCGTGATCAAGCTGAGAAAGCGAAAAAAGATTTGGTCAAAGCTCAACCTGATCAAATGAAAAAAGCCATTGAACAAGTGAGTTTTTTTGGCAATTTTTCTAAATCTCCTATCATTTTCGGGAATTCTAAATCACCTATCATCTTAAAACTTAATATCTTTCTTTTTTCAGATGGACAAAAACTACTACAAAGACAACATTGAATTGACAAAGGATTAAGCTTATTTTTGATTTGTATTCGTTACTTTTTTTTGTCATAAATCAGGGACTTACTTTTCTTTTCAAAAAAAAAGACTTGCTTGAGTACATTAGAAGCTTGCTTGAGTACATTTGAAGCTTGCTTGAGTACATTGGAAGCTTGCTTGAGTACATTCGAAGCTTGCTTGAGTACATTAGAAGCTTGCTTGAGTACATTCGAAGCTTGCTTGAGTACATTTGAAGCTTGCTTGAGTACAAAACTTGCTTGAGGCAAACTTACTTGAGTACATTCGACTTTTTAAAGCTATTTTAAACGATTACCGATCAACAATTTACTTGCGAGAACAGAACTTTGGCAAATACAGGCAAACGAAAAAGAAAAAGCAAAAGAAAAGAAAACACTAGCGATTCTACGATGTATGTGAAAAGCTGAAAACAACAAAAAAAAACTATATAGAAATCGATTTGAAAAACGATTTTCTCAATAGGAATCTTTCTTTGAGTAGAAGCGATAGATGCTTGCTGCTTTGTGAATCCAATTCCAAATTGGATTGCTCATTACAACGGGTGCCTCAATCAAAGGAAGACTGTTCTAAAAACTAGTAAAATAAATTTGCTTTATTTCATTCTCTAACCGTTTCTCTAGATCCTGGTGACCAATCAGAGTCGTCTATCAAATCGGATTGCGAGAAAAAGTTCTGAAAATCATTTGGAATTTGATAATCTTCAATTTGATAATCTTCAATTTGATAATCATGATTTCAGATCGATTTTTACAAATGACTGATCGCTTTTTTGATTGATCATTTACTTTTTTTTTCATTCCAATTATCTTTATTACTTCTTTATCGAAAATACCTGTGATGGATCGATGTGATAGCTTTTTCCTCTGACATGGTTGAGATCAGCCATCGAAAGATAGGCATAAACTGGAGAGACCCACAATTCAGCAATGAGAAACAGGCATACAAATAAGCACACCCAATGGCTCATCACTGGAATTATCATTGCAATTCAATTCCAGTATTTTCAATTACAAAGAACAAAAGCACTTGATGTTTTAAAAGTGAGATGATCAGAAACTCCTTGAATCAGAAAGTTGATGTAATCTAGGAGAATGGGGAACGCTAGAAGTTTGATATTTTGCAGATAAAAAAAAATAGGAAACCTTATAGTTTCTTGGAGAATTCAGGGAGGAAACCCTGGTAAAAGAAAGATAGGCAAAAGAAGAAAAGAAGAAAAGAAGAAAATAAGAAAGGAAGAAAAGAAGAAAATAAGAAAATAAAAGAAGAAAATAAGAAAATAAGAAAAGAAGAAATCCCTTTACTCCTGTTTGGCTTTTCTTTGATATTTACAGCAATAAGAGCCACACAAATCGTAATCCATGCATGAAAGTTTTCAATTCGGAAAATAAACCTAATGGAATCTTGTGGGGATAAAGTTTGAGGTGAATTAGAGTGACGAATCGATGTCATTTCGAAATGGGAAAAATGGGAATTAGTGTTGCGAGATAATCCTCAAAAAGTTCCCTCTTTTCGAAAATTGAAATGATCTTTGCACGGATGGAAAACGAGATAATCAAATGGTAAAGGAAAAGTGTCGAAACATTTTCTATATAATATCTATATAATATTTATATAATATCTATATAATATCTATATAATATCTTTCGATTGAGAAAACCTTGAAAAATATAGATGTGGTGATCACACAGGAGAACAGGAAAGCGTGTACATGTCAGCTTTTTGTATTCAGAAAAAAAAAAGTTATAAAGTTTATCATCATGACGAATCTTTTCGCAATCAAAAATCTTTTGAAAATTGCTGATGCGATTAAGTTTTCTCATAGCTGTTAGAAGCTTAGAAAGCTGTTAGAAGTTTAGAAAGCTGTTAGAAGCTTAGAAAGCTGTTAGAAGTTTAGAAAGCTGTTAGAAGCTTAGAAAGCTGTTAGAAGCTTAGAAAGCTTAGAAAGCTGTTAGAAGAACTTTGAGACTTTGAAAATGGAACAAACGTTTGTTAAAGCTTTGATTTCATTTATAAAAACGAAGTTTTTTTGTGGAATAAATGGAATGAAATGAAATTTTCTATTTGATTTCATTCCAATAGCGTACTGAATGATGATTAATGGGATTAGTGGTTGTTGCAAAAGTTGGGAGTACAGGTGATTTTTGAGGAGCCTCTACGTTTCATCAATCTACCCTTTCCATCCTTTTTTGAGCACAAAGATCTGAAAGCATTCCTTTCTATATATAAAAGAGCTATTTTTGTTCTGTCCATCCGTTAAAGCAACTTAATTGAATAAAATGACCAGCTTGCAGAGATTGTAATGTCTTATTGATACTGTAACGTTCAACAACTCGTTATTTTCTTTCAGTAACAAATGAAAATACGTCTTTTAACGACTTTTAACGACTTTTAACTTCTAGTTAGTTTAAGTGCAAAACCTAAAATGTAATCGTCACTAATTGAACTTTAATGAACTTTAATGAACTTTAATGAACTTTAATCAGCTTTCATCAAGCTTTTGTTAAGCTTTCGTCAAGCTTTACTCAAGCTTTAATCAACTTTAATCAGCTTTAATCAGCTTTCATCAAGCTTTTGTCAAGCTTTCGTCAAGCTTTACTCAAGCTTTCATCAAGCTTTCATCAAGCTTTCGTCAAGCTTTCGTCAAGCTTTACTCAAGCTTTAATCAACTTTAATCAACTAATCAACTAATCAACTTTAATCAGCTTTAATCAGCTTTCATCAAGCTTTTGTCAAGCTTTCATCAAGCTTTCATCAAGCTTTTGTCAAGCTTTCGTCAAGCTTTACTCAAGCTTTAATCAACTTTAATCAACTAATCAACTAATCAACTTTAATCAACTTTAATCAACTTCATTTACATACACAAAAGGAAAATTGTTTTAAAACAGCAGACTAGTCAAAGGGAATTGGGTGAGCGGTCATTGAGATGATGTAAATGAGAAAATGTTCACAAATTCACAAGAAGACTCAGCTCTTTTATCCCTGGATATTCTCCATTTTCACTCAAAGCTGTTGAGTGATTAGATTTCTATTTTGAAAACAAATTTTGAAAAAAAAAACGATGAGATGGTGTCACCGTCTCAACTCGAAAAAGCTATTGTTTATGAGTTGACGATATTTTTCATCTGGACTAAAATTATTTATCGTTATTATCGATACAAACGGCAAGCTCATGTTTGACCATTCAGATTTCGGTTTCTAGAACAGCTATCAATCTGCTAATTGTTTCATTGAAAAGCCAAGAATTTCAGCTTTTGATTGCTATCTGATACATAGCAAATACTCATGAGTGAGTGCCTTAAAAAGCTTATCGATACTCAACTATCGATACTTTTGATATCGATAAGCTTATCGATAAGGTTTATGAAGTGAAAAGTTTGATAATGAAGTAATGAAGTTTGGTAATGAAGTTTGATTGCTATAAAATAGCAATCAAAACCCGAATTTCTTGACTTTCTAATGGAACAATTTTCAGATTGATAGTTTTTCTAAAAACTGAGATCTGAACGATCAAAGATGAGCATGCTTTTTGTAGCAATAATATCGATAAGCAAGTCTAGCCTGGGCAAAGTAAATGCAAAAGTTTATTTCAAAAATGCTAACATGATGCAAAAATGATGCAAAAATGATGCTAAAATGGGTCATTAATTTGAAGTCGGAAATGAGGTGAGTCTTCTGCAGAGCGTGTGAGGAAAAGAGAGGGGAAAATTCCCATCAAAATGAGATCTCCACAAATGCAACACTTTCATTCTTTTTTTCGAGAGACGTTGTTTATGTTTCCTTTTCCAAAGTTAGCTTTTTTTTCAAAACTATTTAAAATACACGTTAAGCTAGGGGAAAAATGAGTCAAGATTTTCTAAATTCCAATTCAAAAATTGTAAAATCATTGAGAAATCATTAAAAAATAAATGTTGAGAAAAGTGATGACGCAAAACGTGAAGCTAAAGAAAATTTCGGAAATCTAATTAGCTGATATTGGAAAACCCAGGTGACTGTGAGCCTTTCCCTCTCGTTTTTTTTTGATCTTTTTTCTGTTTCTCCAAATTAGGTATCTCTTCTCCATTCGAAAAGGCTAAATATTCAGAGAATAAGCCACTCAACGTGTTTCTACCACCAAAAAAGAAAAAACTAATTTGCTTTAGTCCAATTTCCTTGCTTTCCTGTTGCTCAATTTTGCTCAATTTCCTCGAATTGTAACTTTTTTAGGATAAAAAAGTGGAACACGTGTAAATATGGTGTTCATCATCAATTAGATGTAATCCGGTCAATCAATTAAATGTAATCAGGGTTTGTCGCATTTTAATGAAATTGGATGAAATTTTAATGAAATAAAAAAGATTTTCTATTAATTTTTTGCAAATTTACAACTTTTTATCTTATAGAATTTCTTTTGTTTCTATTGGTGGAAAAGTCCTTTCGGATTTTTGGGAGAGTACCTTAAATTTGTCCAATTTTGACGTCTTATAGCTCATCCTAAAGCTGAATTCAAGACGGATCGATTGATAAAAACCGTTTTGAGATATCTATTGGTGGAAAAGTCCTTTCGGATTTTTTGCTCTCCCAAAAAGTCCTTTCGGATTTTTTGGGAGAGCTGTAAAAACTTTTAGAAAAGAGATATCTCAAAACGGTTTTTATCAATCGATCCGTCTTGAAATCAGCTTTAGGATGAGCTATAAAACGTCAAAATTGGACAAATTTAAAGTACTCTCGCAAAAAATCCGAAAGGACTTTTCCACCAACCCAATATTTTGGGAAACCCCATTTTGAACGAGTTTCTGTTTCTGAGAAAAACGAGAGAATCTGGCAAAAAAAAAAGAGTAATTTCAATTAAACGCGAGTTTCCCCATAAGGGAATCAACAAAATAGACCCCGCCAATCGATTGACCGACCTCGAAAATCTGTGGGTATAAATCTTCAGCTCAATATCTTAAGCGTAAACCGATCAAAGATCAAATTCCGGGCACTCGGCTGTGTGCTAGACGCCGCTTTTTCCTACGAGTGAGTTAACCCCTAGTTAGCCTTAAATTCCGTTTCCCTGTTAACAAACTTTCAGAAAATTTACACTTGTTATAATCAGTTGATGAAACTTTCATAGATATTTTTAGAATCTTTAGATACTTTTCCTTCATATCATAGCTCTTATATCTGAGATAGCCTACCTTATATCATATAAGGTAGGCTACTTTGCGCCAAATTTTTTGCGCAACAGGGTCATTGCGCAACTCACCATAACTTTCTTCTAAGTGGGCCAATCTTTTATGATTTTGGTGTCATTTTGTTGCACTTATTGAGATCTACAAAATGAAACCAAAATCATAAAGATTGACCGACTTAGAAGAAAGTTATGGTGAGTTGCGCAAATGCTTAGAGCTAAACCATGAATACCTATTGCGTAGAAATCCGGATCTAATCATTTCTCTGGATGTTATCAAATGTATGTAATCTGTAATTCTTTAGAAATCTTCAGAAATCTTTAGGATCTTGTAATAAAAATAGAAATAAAGAAAATGAATGAATAATTTATTTAAAGAAATCTTCTTGGAGTCTTTGCTTACTTCCACATGCCGAGTTTCTCTTCGTGTGCTCGTTGAGCGGCAGAGCGTTCCCTAGAAAAAGGAGTTGAAAGATATAAAGATATAAAGAAATATATAGTTTTTGATTGTCTAGAATGAATTTAAATAGCATTTGAATACTTGGAATCCTATTTAAAAGAGTTGCAAAGCTATACATGTGTACCTCCTCTCTTTTCGGGCCTTTGCTGTCACCTCAGCCCAATGAGCTCGATCCTCTTCGGGTACCCATGCCTAAAAATTTCAGAAAATTTGCTTTATAATGATTTCTCCTAACAATACTGGGCTCATTTTTTCATAACCAAATAGAAATACAACAAAGAAACCTTCTTTGAATGATGGTTTTCCCATAAAATGTATAGACAAACCTTTTCTCCAAACTAATATGCAAAAGAACAAAAGATTAATTTACTTTGCGAACCTTTTGATCAGGTATTCGTGGATCCTGCTCATCTTTCCATTTCTCGATCAATTCAGGCAAATGTTTCTCGAGGCTTTTCACCTGTTCGATCAACTCTTTTTGCGCCTCTTCTTTCGTCATTCCTAGAGTTGTATTTAAGAAACATTATATAGTTCATTCATTCATTCATATGGTTCCAATATGGTTCAGATACGGTTCCAATATGGTTCTAATATGGTTCTAATATGGTTCAGATACGGTTCTAATATGGTTCCAATATGGTTCAGATACGGTTCCAATATGGTTCCAATATGGTTCCAATATGGTTCTAATATGGTTCAGATACGGTTCCAATATGGTTCCAATATGGTTCCAATACGGTTCTCATATGGTTCCAATATGGTTCAGATACGGTTCCAATATGGTTCCAATATGGTTCCAATATGGTTCTAATATGGTTCAGATACGGTCCCAATATGGTTCCAATATGGTTCTAATATGGTTCAGATACGGTTCCAATATGGTTCCAATATGGTTCCAATATGGTTCTAATATGGTTCAGATACGGTTCCAATATGGTTCCAATATGGTTCCAATATGGTTCTAATATGGTTCAGATACGGTTCCAATATGGTTCCAATATGGTTCCAATACGGTTCTCATATGGTTCCAATATGGTTCAGATACGGTTCCAATATGGTTCCAATATGGTTCCAATATGGTTCTAATATGGTTCAGATACGGTCCCAATATGGTTCCAATATGGTTCTAATATGGTTCTAATATGGTTCCAATATGGTTCAGATACGGTTCATTCTACATTCATTCATACTCAAAAAATGTTAGATAGTCGATTATTTAAACAATATTTCAAAAAAACACAACCCCAACATTGATTCCAGGCATGCCATTTATCATTTCCTTTCATCCATCCCCACATCCACGACTCCTCCTCTGGGTCATGATAATCTTTTTCTGAATATAATCATAATATACTTTAAAGTTTAGATATTAAATATTACAGAAATTACAATCTTTACTTGGCACATTGATATCTCCGACGATAGATTGTTGATAGAGTCCCCAAATGGGAAGAGTCTCTTCTTCGAACAACACGAATAACTCAAACTCGTACTTCAAACCCTGGAAAAATTTGCTTTAGAGATAAACATATTTTAGAAATTAATATATATATCTTTAGTCTTACAATGTCAGTCTTACAATGTCAGTCTTACAATGTCAGTCTTACAATGTCAGTCTTACAATGTCAGTCTTAGAATGGTCAGAAGTGATTTTGGCACCAAAATGAGGCGAAATTTTGTGAAAAGTGAAATTTCGGGACCTATCGAAGACGGCGAGTACGATGGTGTTTTCAGGTTTTGCTAAGGATAGCTAGTTTTCGAGAAAAAAGCTTTAAAATTTAGCGAGGCAAGCTTCTATAAAAGGACTTCTTTCAGACGTACGGTAAGCTGCCTCGTGGTCGGGAGGCAAGGTCCTCGCTTCTAATTCTTGAGAGCTTGGTTCAATCCCGGGCGGCCCCTTTTTTTCAAGCTTTTTATTTTATATGTCGTAGCCGTTTACGAAATTCAGCCGCTAACGAATGATTCGTTAACGGCTGAATTTCGTAAACGGCTACGACATATATATTACAAGAGTTATAAAACTTTTAAGCCTTAATCTTTTCGCCATTCTTTGTTCAACAATTTTATCTATAAATCCAGAAGAAAAAGAAAGATTGATGAGATAAAACATGATTATGATTGTGAAGACGCGTCATAAACTGCTTTAGTTTAGTTTAAAAACTTAATAACATAATAAACGCTTAATAAACCGCTTTAGTTTAATTTAATAAACAATAAACTTAATAAGCGCTTAATAAACTGCTCAAATGGTCAAACTTTTCTTTGATCGAAGCGAGCGCGCAACGTTTTCCACGTGTTCACAGCTGAGACGAATTCCTTGAAAATAGAAATATTGAACGTATTATAAAGCAATTGTAAACGATTATAAAACAATTTTTTTTTTTAATTCAAAAACTCACATTGTCCATTCTTTTGAATTTATGTGTAAAATTTTGTGCAAAATTTTAAAAAACAGACAAAGGCAGGCATCAATCTCAAATTGGCTATCATTTTGTGTTATCCAAATGGAATCGATTTATATATACCGTATTTTCTGTAATAGTAGTGCAGTCTATCTATAATAGTAGTGCAGGCTGTAATAGTAGTGCAGTCTGTAATAGTAGTGTAGTCTGTAATAGTAGTGTAGTCTGTAATAGTAGTGTAGTCTGTAATAGTAGTGCAGGCTGTAATAGTAGTGTAGTCTGTAATAGTAGTGCAGTCTATAATAGTCATGCAGTCTATAATAGTAGTGCAGGCTGTAATAGTAGTGCAGGCAGGAGGGGGGTTGAAAAAATAGTAGTACGCACTACTATTACAGAAAATACGGTATATGCTTTATTCAGTTGAATAGCGACAAAACAAAATCACAATAATTACCCGGGACACCACTCAAAACACACCCAAAAGATAAATAGATACCTCAAGAAAGAATCACAGAGCAGTCAAATCAATTGCCGAAATTGCGGCTTTAAATCTAGCCAAGGTGGAAATATCACGAACATGAGGGGGTAAAATGTTAAAATGTTCCAGAATTTAATAACTCGATTAAAAAAGAAACTGTGTTGTGGGGGCTTTTAGAGGAAACGGAAGGTTGGCGCATGAGAAAAGGCCCCCTTCTGGAGGCGCCCCGTAGAGAGCCGAATTCAAAGAGGCCAGAAATGAATGGCCTCGGGATGAATGGCCTAGCCAATCTAGCTAAGGTGGAAATATCACGAACATGAGGGGGTAAAATGTTCCACAATTTAATAACTCGATTAACTAAATTTTTTTATATTTTTATATTTTTATATTTTTTTTTAAATTCAAAAACTCACATTGTCCATTCTTTTGAATTTATTTGTAAAATTTTGTGTAAAATTTAAAAAAAACAGACAAAGGCAGGCATCAATCTCAAATTGGCTATCATTTTGTGTTATCCAAATGGAATCGATTCCAAAAATTCTATATACAATTTATTCATTTTCAACATAAAAATACAATAATAGATTTTTTTTAAAAAAAATAGAAAGAAAAAATAGAAAGCTTACAAAGTATGTACAAAGTACAATTTGTTATTATTAGTTGCTAGTTTTGGCGATTTATCACAGCTGCATATCGAGTGACTTTTCTAAAAGAGATTTCTAATCAACCCGATTTCTTTGCCTGAACACGTCTTTTTCTGAAATATTCACAAACGAACGACAAAATCATATTCGTAGCTTTTAATTGATATTTAAGCAAAAAATATTTCAGAAAGAGTTTGTTGAAAAGATTTCAACTTCAAACACTCATCTTTTTTTCTTTCATCGAGCTGTTAATTCAAAGCCGTATTAGTAATCCTTTTCTAATTTTAAATTACACATTTCCGGGGAGTGGAACAAATGCGACCTTTTTCTTGCGCACTTAGCCCATTAGCGCACCTTTTTTCGCGTTTTAAAAAAGCTCTAAAAAGCTAATATTAACCAATTTCTATTCCAAATGTTGTTTTTCTAGGTAATTTGAGGGCGTAGAATCGAAATTTTGACATATCAGAGCGTGTGGGACGAATTTGAAAGACAAAACGGCTAGGTCAAATTACAGAAAATTGTTGATTTTTCTCTTTGTATAACTCCGTCCGTTTGCTTCCACAAGCTCTGATATGCCAAAATTTCGATTCTACGCCCTAAAATTACCTAGAAAAACAACTTTTGGAATAGAAATTGGTTAATATTAGCTTTTAGAGCTTTTTTAAAATGCGAAAAAAGGTGCGCTAATGGGCTAAGTGCGGAAAAAAAAGGTGCGCAAATGTCCGGGTGCGCAAAAAAAGGTCGCATTTGTCCCACTCCCCACCTCCGATTTAAAAAAAACTACCGTAATACTTATCGTAAAATAAGACTAAGACTACTGTAAAATCTATAGGTATTACGGTAGATACATTCATTTAGCGTAAAAGAAAATGCAAAAAAAAAGCAAAAGGAAAAAAAACTTACAACGAAAAGCGGAAGCGATCGCGATGCCAATAGAGAAAGAGATAGCGAAAAGAGAAAATTGTGGAAGCTTTTTTTTTTGGGGTGAAGAGATCGATCAACGATGAAACAGTAGCTTTCTGCAAGCGGAAAAAAGAATCGATCAAAAAATGTGGTGCTGAATAGTGGGCAGAGTGTGTTCCTGTTGATTCACAGTTAGAGAAAAAGGGTTAATCAGCAATCAGTAAACTTTAATCATTTTTAAAGATATCGTAAAAACCTTATCCCTTCTCACTACAGTATGCTAGAGTACTCAAAATCTAGACGGAATAGTCTTCAAGTTTAACTGTATCTTGTTGTTCAACTGTACCAAGTCTTTATCTATTCAGTCTTGACACAGAATAGCTTTGACATATTGTAGTGGACAAGAGATTAGAGCTGTGTGGTATTTTGAAGGGTTTAAAAGGTGTGATTTAAAAAAAGAGATTTTCTTTTCAATCCTTGTTTTTCTATACTATCAAATGGTCAAAAGTTGAGCAAATTAATCACCTAATTGCATTCTTTTTTTAAAAAGATTACTATAATGATTCTTGTTGCATTATTCTGTATCATGATTCAATAGGAACACACTCAATAGAAACATGAAGCGAGCTGGGGAAAACATTGAGCTGAAAGACGGGGAACGGAGAAGATTCCATTCCATAGAGACATGCATAACCCGAGACACCCATGCACATCGACGTGGTGTATGCAAAAGAATGAGACGGGACAGCTCTAGGTGAGCGGCCTGCAAAGCAATAGATTTACAAAGCGCCATTGATTGAGCTGACTGGTGACTGGTGACTGAGCAGAAAAAACATTCTGAGCATTCTGGACTTTTTGGAAAGCTTCTGGAAAGCTTTTCTGAAGAAATCATGCCTAATAGCAAAGTCTTCTCTTACAAGATTTAATTACTTACAAAATACTATCTAAAAGGCGGAAATGCAGTGGTTTACAAATAGCTGAAGTCACCAGAGTCACCAGAGATAAAAGAAGTCACCAGAGTCACCAAATGCATTTCTCTGCTCAGCCTCCCATTCTTATTCCCTACTGATTCGATCTTTTTGCACATGCACATTCACTTGGCTTTTTCCTGCTCTCTTCCCATTTCAGCTGAGAAAAGGCTTGCTAAAAAATGTTCAGTACCCAACGATTCATCCGGTGCTGCTTCGATAGAATAACATGCTTTTCAATTAAGTTTCAAATTCGAAAATACCCTTTCTATTAAAAGATTTCTATTCTAACAGATCAACTGCGTGCTATGACATTGAGAGTCATTCGGGAGGCACGATAAAAAAATACTTGAAAAACAATATCGATAAAAGTTCATAGACTTACCCGAGGAAAATAAACCAATACCAAATGTTGAAAACCAAAAAGAAAAACGGAAACAAGACCGAAGAGGCCTAAAAGTTTTGATTTTTTTATTTGAATTTCAGTTTTGAACATTGATTTCAATGACACTGATTCAATGACACTGATTCAATGACACTGACTTCAAGGACACTGACTTCAATGACACTGACTTCAATGACACTGACTTCAATGACACTGACTTCAAGGACACTGACTTCAATGACACTGACTTCAATGACACTGACTTCAATGACACTGACTTCAAGGACACTGACTTCAATGACACTGACTTCAATGACACTGACTTCAAGGACACTGACTTCAATGACACTGACTTCAATGACACTGACTTCAAGGACACTGACTTCAATGACACTGACTTCAATGACACTGACTTCAATGACACTGACTTCAAGGACACTGACTTCAATGACACTGACTTCAATGACACTGACTTCAAGGACACTGACTTCAATGACACTGACTTCAATGACACTGACTTCAATGACAGTGACTTCAATGACAGTGACTTCAATGACATTGCTTTCAATGACATTGACTTCAAAGTTCTTCTCACCCTGTCCAATTTTCCAGCTGTCCACTCTGGGCATTTGTAGCACATCCACGAGCATTGACATCTTCAAAGTAATCATTTTTTTGACTTGTTAATCTGTTTTTTGATTGTTTTTGATTGTTAATCTGTTTTTTTCTAGTTTATTAGCGTGTCTAGTTTCTGTTTTTGACAAAGCTTCTATTCTTTAACTCACCTAATCGTTTGATGTTTACCATTTTTGGTGAGATATCCCACCACAGCCAGCTCAATAAGCGATGCAAAGATGAAAGCCATCGAAGACAAAATCCAAACGTCAATTGCTAAAAATTTATTCGATTACAATAATTCTAGATTTTTCTAGATGTTTGTCACCTTTCACTTCGCTAGTTTTCGGCAAATTGCTCACAACTGAGCCGAATTGGAATCTAAAAAGATTGATGTCAATGAATGGAAAGAAGCCATTGTGTATGTTGTGTTGTGCAAGAAGCCATTGTGTATGTTGTGTTGTGCAAGAAGCCATTGTGAATGTTGTGTTGTGAAAGAAGCCATTGTGTATATTGTGTTCACACTTCACAGTTGTGAATGAAAAGTTGTGCTTTGCATTCTACTCAAATCTTTTTTTTTTACTTACGTTAATGCAAGAAGCGAATTGACACCGACAGTGGTTCGGGAAGGGATCTGCTCGGCTCCCAAATAAAATGACACCTAAAAGAGATCTAGTGATATTGATAAGAGGATCTTTACAGCTCACCCAAGAAATAAACACTGAAATGTACGCAGGCACGTAGACCTAGATTCGGGAATTTGTTTTTTTTTAAGGTCAAAACCGACTACCTGTAAAATGTAAAACCCGTAAAGTCGTTGGAAAGTAAAGGCAGCGATGAGCTCGTTGAAAACTCCTGGTGGATAAAGCTGAAAAAGAATCAGAATTTTGGAATGAGAAAATGGAATACCCGTAGCTCGGTGGAGGTTTGAAAATCAACAAGCACATAGTCGGGAAGAGTGATGTTTCCTTTGAGAATCGTGATCGGCGGCACTGTATCAATCCATCGGAGTTGCACCTAGACAAATAGCTATAGTAAAATATAGATAATTGACATCTTTATAGATAATTGACAAATTCTACCTCGTTAACGTTGTGCGTAAAGCTTTCATAGAATAGCATACATCTAAAGTGACTTTAAAGCAGTGAGCTAACTTTCGACAAACTTTTGCTGATCGATGGGAAAAGTGCGAAGAGTGCTCGAGCAAGGCCCTACCAGTTTGGTGCGATAATTGTGCCAAATACTGCCGTTGCTTTAAAATTATGATTTACTATTAAGCTGTCCAGAAAGTCTTTTCGTTTCTTTTCGTACTTCGCGGAGGTGGGACAAATGCGACCTTTTTTTGCGCACCTGGACATTTGCGCACCTTTTTTTGCTGGAAAAGGCCTTAGGAAAGGTCGTAAAGCTTCAAAAATGTTTCATAGAAGGGAATCGTATGCGTAGATTCCGAATTTCGACAAATCAGACCTCGCTGACACGTCAAATTTGGGCTAAAAGTCAAAAACTACGCAACTTAACGCTTTTCCGCAGTTTTTGCCTTTTAGCCCAAATTTGACGTGTCAGCAAGGTCTGATTTGTCGAAATTCGAAATCTACGCATACGATTCCCTTATATGGAAATATTTTCAAAGCTCTACGACCTTTCCTAAGGCCTTTTCCAGCAAAAAAAAAGGTGCGCAAATGTCCAGATGCGCAAAAAAAAGGTAGCATTTGTCCCACCCCCTACTTCGCAACAATAAACACTTTTTCTACTTTTTCATAGCAATAAACACCTTTTCTACTTTTTCTAACAATCACCAATAAACACTTTTTCACTTTTTTTTCTACCATACTGTAACGACGAGTCACCAAAAAGCTGTCGCAGTCTAATAAGACACCAAAAATACCGTACCCTAGACAATGTCGTGCTCACACGCCTCATTCCCCATTCAGGGAATTTTTCTCTCATTTGTCTTTTGAAAGTTGGCTTCTTTTGTTTCTTTTGTTTCTTTTACTTCCACAATTTTCATTAAAGTGCTTCCTTTTTGTCTCTAGGCTGTTTAGAGCCTGTCTCTAGGCTAACACATTGTTTCTTTGAGCTTCGTTGAAACATTTTCACACGCTTTCTATTGAATAAACGTTGCTTTGTTATTCATTCAAGCGCACAGTTCTGAATTCACTAGACGTGGCAGGTCTACTGAATTCAAGGGAAAGCAGTGAGTAATTCGCAATACAGAACAAATTTTTTTTGATTAAAAAATTTTGAATTTGTTTTTTATAACTACGAAAAGAAACAAAAGACTTTCTGGACAGTCTAATACAGTCGACTCTCTATAACGGAACTCTATATAGCGGAAAACTAAACGGAAAGAGATTTTTAGTCCCGGTCGACGCTAAGCTCTATATAATGGAAAAAAATTTTGGTCCCTTCCATCCCGTTATATAGAGAGTCAACTGTATATTTTTTTTCAATAAATAGCATTTTGTTACCTATAAATCTGCAGAAAAATATTGGTGAACGGGCTGTTGTGAATACTTGCGTATTTCGTGTTCACAAAGCACACTTGTGGTGTCCAAATCTCACGAATCACCTTTCCGCCGTCAACGGAAATGTTGCTGAAAAGTCGGTTTATCAATTTTTCTTGCAAAGCATAGATCCAATCTTAACCTCTTGCATGGATTGAGATGAGCATAGGCGAGCGATGGATCGGTCCATCTTTCTGTCACATAAATATCTAACTCGAATTCGGATGTGATCTCAATGATCTTCGAGACTTCTTGCACCCAGATCTAATTAGTGGATTTGGCTAGTGGATTTTGTTTGCTTTACCTCGACAGAGACGCTCACATTCCCACCACTTGGTAGATCCATTTTCTCGTAGGTTTTTAAAACTGCTGCCAGAACTTCCGCGTCATCTGCAAGATTTTTTTAACACATTCACAAAAAAGCCTATTTTTATCTTGGCTGCCGATCTGAAAATTTGTAATCAGAGGCATCAGAAATATCCAAAAATAGAGCAGTTTCCTTGAAAACCAGTAACGGATTCGAATTCCTTGACCTCAAAAAACAGCTGGTGCAAGTTTTTAGCTCAATCAGCCTCAAAAAAAAAAATGCTAAATCCAATCCACCAGTGGGCCGTAGGTCAAGAATGTGTTAAACGAAGATTTTTTGAAGATCTACCAGCACACGGTTCTCCGTTAGCATTTGTGGCTGGGACTTGATTCTTTCTGTGACGATATTCTGTATCTTCGAGGGCCGAAAGTAAAGCAAAGATGAAGAAAAAATAGATCGTCAAGTGAATCATCTCCGAAGCATAGTTGGATTAAAAAATAATTGGTTGAAGGAAAGAAGAGAGGTTTATTGAGAAAAGGCAAAAGGTGGCAGGGGGTATCCGTGGGAAGAGAATCGAGAATCGGATAGCGTGTCCGTCCTTTTCAAGCGGACTTCCACGAGCAGGATCAATGCCTTTTTTAGCTTTAGCCAGACAACCACAAAGGATGGGCCCCTAAGGGCCGGAGAGGATAAAGGAAAAGGGAAAAGGGAAAAGGGAAAGGGAGAGGAAAGAAAAACAGAAAAGACTTCTCAAAGCACTGCTCCTCCTTTCTTTTCACTCGTTGACTCTCTCTATTCTTTTCCCGTAAAGGGATCGGATAAGTTTTGTGTAACTAATTTTCCTAAAAAAAGAGTTCTTTTATACAGTTCTTTATATCTATAATGTTAAATTATAGATTTTTTTAGTTTACTGACAATCGGTTTTCACAAATTTATAGAGTTAGGTTGTGAAATTCGAACGAGAAAACTCAATTTCCGTCGACGCAATCAAGTTTTCCCTTCATGCTGACAACGTTTTTCCTGAAATATTCCTGAATTGCGTTTGTTTATTTGTTTATTTGGTATTTTCAAATCAAAAATTTATTCACTCGTCAAAATGATCACAATTTTTGGCTCATACGAAGCTTACCCGAGAAAAATAGTTAGACGATAACAAAAATAGCTACAATCAAACACTACAATCTCAATGTTCTACAGATAAAAAAAGAATTCACATCAATGCTTCGCAAACAAAGATGACTTTGCATTAATAATCTCTAATTTATAAATCACTGTGTTTTCTTCACGTGTTTCAATAGCTAAAAGTTTTGCGATGAAAAGATTCTCGCAAAAGCCGCTGATGGAAAAGCGTTGGAAAACCGTCGAACTTCCAAGCTCATTATTGTCAAGCTGATCTTCTTTGAGAGTTAATGGTGATCCATTAAGGTGAACGATCACCGTGCTGCTTGCCGTAATCAACACTTCATCTCCATCACAGACTTTGGCTTCTAATTTGAAGATTCTAAATGGTTCTCTTGAAAATGATTTTTTTTTATGTTCATAACAAACTTGTGAATCCCAGGTGTCACTAGGGTGAGCCCCGGTTTGCCGATCGTAATAGGATGATCTTCTTTTGGCAACAGTGGCCAATGCGGTTGAATTGCAATTTTGGATAAACACCACCACTAAATTTTTTTTGGTTTTAAAGTTAAATTATTGATAGACACCACCAAAATTACAATTAGAGTGTGCTCCTAACCAATCAAATCATTCAAATCATGTTTTCTAAAACATGCTCGCTTCTAAGCGCGTTTTCTAAAAGGCGCTCTTTTCTAAAGCTGTCAAATTTTTTCATTTTTAAAATTTTTCTTGTTCTTTCGGGGTAGGCTAGTTTCCGCAACTTTTTTTGCGCAGCAGGGTCATTTGCGCAACTCACCATAACTTTCTTCTAAGTGGGCTAATCTTTATGATTTTGATTTCATTTTGTTGCACTTATTGAGATCTACAAAATGAAACCAAAATCAAAGATACCACTAGAAAAAGTTATGGTGAGTTGCGCAAGGCCGTGCGGAAACACCCGTCTTCCCATTCTTCTTTTAACAATTAATTTTGCAATTTTAGGATGGGTCTAGCCGATCTACTCACGCGAGATGATTGGATCTACACGGGAATCCTCGGCTCATCGTTTGCGATCAGCTGGCTGCTGCGTTCTTCTCAAAATATGGGCTTGATACGACATGGAGGTGGACTAATCGGGTTCATGATGGCTCTGCTGACTTTACGATGGAAATTGCAAAATTAATTGTTAAAAAGAAGAATGGTAAAGACGGGGTAGGCTAGTTTCCGCAACTTTTTTTGCGCAACTCACCATAACTTTTTTTCTAAGTGAGATAATCTTTATGATTTTGGTCTCATTTTGTAGATCTCAATAAGTGCAACAAAATTAAATCAAAAATCATAAAGATTATCCCACTTAGAAAGAAAGTTATGGCGAGTTGCGCAAACGACCCAGTTGCGCAAATGACCCTGTTGCGCAAAAAAAAGTTGCGGAAACTAGCCTACCCCGTTCTTTCTCTATCTCTATCAAAATTTTCTATTTTAAACAAATATTTTTTTTGGTTGTTTAAAATGATTATTTATTTTTAGAAAGAATAGCCAAGGGAAGAATCTGATCAACAAACAATTGAAGAATATGGTCAACAAAAGGAGAAGAGCACGAACTATATTCCCAGGGCAGTTTTTTTTCTGTATTTTACTGTAGGAATAATTACAATGGGGTGCTGCAGTTCTTATTCTCATTCTCATTCTCATTCTCATTCTCATTCCCATTCTCACCTGGCCATTCTCAGCGAATCCGGCCGAGAAATCGGTCGATAGAGGCAAACTAGTCAAGGGTCGAAGCGGGGTGCACGAGCGTAGAAAACTCCAAAACCTGTTGGATTTCTGAAATTAGTCTAAAGCAAATGTCAATTACCGTAGTCCATTTTTCGTCACATCACTTTTCTCGGAGTGCTTCTCAACAATCCATCCCGGGGCGAAAAGCGCCACCGAGAGTCCCCGATTCACGGCCACCTCAAATGATTGCCAACACTGCCAGCCACCTGTGAAAGTAAAATCTTCTTTTATTTTTACCATATTTCTTTGGTACCAACACATCCTCGTGCAAAAACGTCTACACCGGTGAAAACGTTTTTCGGGCATGAGTCGAGCGCTTTACTCATTTCGACACTCTGCATCAAATCTTCCTGATTCCATCCGTAATTTGTGAACATTCCATCAGATGCTTGAAAAAAATCCCTAAAATTTGTTTGAAATCCTTTCTCGCGTTGAACCAAAAACCTATTTTTTTCATTCAGCGAGTTCTGCCAAACCAATTTCCCGGAATGAATGACTGCATCATACCAAATTAGCTGAATTGACATTTTTTGGAGATCAACTTTTACAAACTTTTGAATGAGGGATATTTTCGTGGAGTGAATGAGTAAGCTTCTTGAGAAAGTTCAGCATTTCATCAACCAAATGTACCTGCAATCATTACATTTCTCTATTGGAGTATGTAGTTTTTTTGTGAAAATGCGGTAGCCATTGTGCTGCATTCAAACCTCCAGCTCATTTTCGATGTTGATTAGATAACCTTCGAAATTCCAATCTTTTGCAATTTTGACCAGAGCCTCAACTGTCTGTTCAATTGCTTCAGGTGATGAAAGGAACTAAAGACTTCCACTGTTATAATGCAAATCCAAAAGCAGTTTACCTTTTCACAAAGGGCTTTCCCACCATCATCTTCTGTAATCAAAGTACCAAGAACGCGGACACCATGTCTAAAGTTGGTAAACTTTGTATCATTAAATCATGTTGCTAGCTCTCTGAGTAGATGGTTGGTTTTGGCATTTGAGCTTTTCAGAGTAAAATGCTACATTTCCTCACTTGTGTGCTGAATTGATCCAACCGATTGGAGGAATCGTGATAAAGTTGTGCGAAAAATAACAGAAGTAATCGATCTGAAATTTGAAAATCATTCATTTGGTTTCCCTTTCTTTTTAACATCATTTACATTGTAACATTGATTTATATTTACTGACCTGCCAATGATTCAGAAAAACGAATGGACGTGAATCCACGGGTGAACAACCGCCAGTTCTAGAATAGAAATGTTATTTTTTTCACAAGTTTGGTATTTTCCACGTATGCTTTACAATTGTTTAAATCCTAAAGACTGTAAAACTACCGTACTTCTCGTGTGGTAGATATCCTCCCTGCATATCGTGACAGACAAGGACTTCGGGTCTGTCCGGGTGGTGGGAATCGTAGTTTTGCAATGGTTCTAATTCGGCACAAAATGTGGGCTCATAGGCCCATAAAGCCTCAACCGAACCCAGTGGCCCCACATCCATTATCTAAAATTTATTTTATTGAATTAATCTCTAAATGAAAAAAGATAACCTAGAAAAACAAGATATTCAACAAAATAATTCAAAGTGAAATAGCAAACATTCATGAAACAACTCGTTTCGGTGGCGGAAAAATGATCATAATAACTTTACTAATAACATAGATGGGAGCTAATGAGATTGGTAGCCAATAATATAAACTACTCCAAAATCGGTGGGTGTCAGCAAAGTTTTTCAACAAAAATCCTGTAGCGAGGAAATCGAATCCACGAGAGCGAAGCGTTAAAATGTAAAGCCATTGGAACCATTTTGGTTTCGCGTTTGCAAATTGTTTGAAGATGACATCTTCTACAGCCGTACACATTGGGACAACCAAGAACGACATGAAATATCCTGCATAGGTTCCATGCCATAGTGCTGACACAAACATCGTAACTTCGACACGATACGTGCGACTTGTTCTGGAGTAGACGAAAAGCGCCAACCAAGACTGCACGGATCTATTCCAGGCCCGTATCCCACTGCGAAATCCGTCGCTGAATTCGACTTCCCCAATGTCCAAATTTGTGATGGCTTCTGAGCTGTACTCGGTTTCTGTTCGTCCATGTAGTGACCTAAATTTAAACGTGCTTCAAGAAAAGGCAAACCATTTACAAATAATATAGACTCAGAAAACTTACTGGTATTTCTCTACATCGGTAGGCCCAACCACAATCGTAGGTTTGGAAAGCTTAGGGTAGATCCCGATTCCGATAGTGACACATATTGATTCTGAAACAGCCCAGGCGCTGTATACTCGATTCCGGAAAACAACAAAAACAGCGGCTGCCCAAAATAGTCGATATGTGAAGGACCATTCCCAGATAGCATCGCTTCGTAAATGATCCAAAGGAAAAAGTTTGTTAGTGATAACAAACAATGGGACCGACCAGAGCAATTGTAAACCTCGTTGTTTTATCTCATTTAATGGCGACCAGCTCGTGATTAACACAGGTTCTTGTGAATCAAGGAGCATTTGAAAAGTATAATATGGTCCCGTAAATAGTCCACAATAATGATAGAAGTAATTGAACATCTCAGATAGTGAAGGGTCGTGTAAAAGATGACGCTTCACTTTCGTATCATCCGACTTTGGTTTCGATCTAGCCACCCTTGAATCGGAGATTTCAAAAGAAAGTCCAATGACTCTGAGCGTCATTATCAGCTGTAATCCATTGGCCTGACTAGCGAGTTCTTCGATTGGAAACACAAAGTGTAGGTATCGACACACCAGCAAGTAGACGAACGTCACCACGAAGACAATCTTTGTGAGAAGTCTTTGATCCACCAGCTTTATAGAAAGCATCGTAAACACCACCAGCGGGATCGAATAAAAGATTTTCCATCGTAAAATCAGCAGAGCCATCATGAACCCGATTAGTCCACCTCCATGTCGTATCAAGCCCATATTTTGAGAAGAACGCAGCAGCCAGCTGATCGCAAACGATGAGCCGAGGATTCCCGTGTAGATCCAATCATCTCGCGTGAGTAGATCGGCTAGACCCATCCTAAAATTGCAAAATTAAAGTTGAAGAAGGAAATTTTTAAAAAGAGGAATGGTAAAGACGGGGTAGGCTAGTTTCCGCAACTTTTTTTGCGCAACTGGGTCGTTTGCGCAACTCGGCATAACTTTCTTCTAAGTGGGCTAATCTTTATGATTTTGGTTTCATTTTGTAGATCTCAATAAGTGCAACAAAATTAAATCAAAATCATAAAGATTAGCCCACTTAGAAGAAAGTTATGGTGAGTTGCGCAAATGACCCTGTTGCGCAAAAAAAAGTTGCGGAAACTAGCCTACCCCGTAAAGAAACTAAGCTTGTGATAATCTTTTCCTCTCTTTCAACTTTTTATACCTTATCTATTGCAATCTCATTGACGTCCAATTGTATCTCGTAATTAGTATGACTTCGTCTTTTCGCTCATACCATTCAAATTTTTGAAAGCTTATTTGTTAAAAATTATGGTACAGCTGTTGAGAAATTTTTTATAAGATTGTTTTTGTTCAGATTGTTAGAAAAATATGTTGCTATTTTTAGTTTTAGATGCAAGAGAATGAGTGATCATCGATCGTCATTTATTCATCTGATTCGCCATGTTTCTAGCACTCAACTTCGAGCAGATCCTATGCTACAATGTGCGGTAAGTTTTGCTTTTACTCATTTTATATGAAATGTCATCATAATTTAGACAAGCACTTTTGCCGCGTGCTTTCTTTATTCAATTGTGATATCTTATTTGTGGACGTACACAATAGCCTGTCTATGTAAGTTCTTTTAGCATACATATGTCCATACTAAGCTTTTGACGGAGAATGCTATCTTATGGCTACCTAGAGTTTAGTATTTAGCTTTAGGTATTTCTGGATTCTTTGCGCAATTTTTGTATCGATGGATCAAAGGACATGATTTCAATTATTGGATTGCTGTACAATCCGCGTTTCTCGGACTGGTTGGGCAACCTTTGTTAAGTATTAAATTTATCAAAATTTAGGTTTTCGGTTGTTCGATCTCCCATTCTCTACATTCATCAGCAGAAATCACGGATCCTAGTATTTATTTTTTTGTATATTTTTAAAATTCCTTTAGAAAGCCTATTTTGTCGCTACATTGCTGTGCTTGCATTCTTTCATTATACGGAGTTCCTCTTCACCGCCATATCAAATCGACGCTCTTTAAAGGTTACTTAGCTGAATTTTTGAGTTTTATAATGTTTGTTTAGATTGACTCGTTTTTGCTGAACCATTCTCGAGCTTACTGGGCTGCAGCGGTTACATCTTGGCTTGAATTTTGGATGGAGGCAACACTATTTCCAAATATGAAGTTTTCATTTGCAAGTTGGTTGGGCGTCGGAATTTGTATAATTGGCGAGGTTTCATTTTTGATACTCGTACTAATTTGACAGCTAACTTTTAGATTATTCGAAAGGTTGCGATGATTCAAGCGGGCATTGGGTTTACTCACTCGTTGGCAATTAAGAAACATTCGGATCATCATCTGGTGACAGAAGGTATATATGGGTGGTGTAGACATCCAGGTGAGCTCATTTATTAAGTGAAAATCTAATTAAAATCTAATTTCAGGTTATCTTGGGTGGTTTATCTGGTCAATTTCTACTCAAATTGTTTTATGTAATCCATTGTGTTTGGGGCTGTACGCTTTCGCATCGTTTAAATTTTTCAATTCACGAATAATCGACGAGGAGAGGTGGGAACTTATTTTTTATTTTAAATCTTATGCTTTTATTGATTGATTTTACAATTTTTCTTTAGAGACTTGCTACATTTTTTTGGATCTGCCTATGAGATGTATCAGAATGATGTTCCTACAGGAATTCCATGGATTGAGGGATACAGACTTCGAAGATAGTCTGGATGTTTTTTTTATCTTGTTAAGTTCACATTTCCATTTTTTTTCGAATGATAATAATTTTTGATGGATTTTAATAAAAATATTATTATTCCTTTGGTTATAGAAAGTTTTAACTATCGCTATCTCTAAAAGAAAAATGGTTATTTCAATTCTCGACCTGATTTCCGTGGTTTTTCAGGTTCCATTAAGATGGCGAAAAGTAAAACGCCAACTAGAGCAGCCAACAAAGAGGTAACTTCCTTTTGACAAATGCCTTTCTTTCGTTAAAAGATTTACGAGATATTATACAATTTAAACTATATTTACTAATGAGTTTCTTTAGGTGAAAAATTTAATTGAAGATCTGCTAAAAAAATTGCATACTTCAGAGGTACCCGAGGATTTGCCGTGCAGGTTTTTTGATTGCACCTTTCATCATACATTTTTAATTTAGAGGAGAACAAATCAATAAAATAGAAAAATTTTTGCGGTCAGTCATTTCACCAAATGGTGAATCGTCAGCCATGTACATATCTGGTGTCCCAGGCACTGGCAAGACGGCGACCGTCCAGACAGTTCGTTTTTGTGTTTGTTAACCCATTTATTTACATTTAAGGTTGTCCGGAGATTAGAAGATGAGGTAGGACCGACGTTTAAAGCCATCTATATCAATGCGATGGAACTGATTGATCCAAAGGAGTTTTTCGTTCGCGTCTACAAAGAGTAAATGCTTTAAGGTGTCAGAATCATATTTTAATTTAGGATTACTCAAGACTCAAAAAGAGTTGGAATAACGACAGCCCGCAGACATTTAAATTTGCTTTTTCAAAGCATCGACAGAAAAAGGCCTCCTATTATCATTATGATTGACGAGTTAGATCATATGTGCACTAAGCGACAGGAAGTAAGATTTTTGAGGAAATCTTTGCTATGAATCAATGTTAAGTTAATATACGATATCTTCAATTGGACTACAAATGAAAGGGCGCGTGTTACCGTGATTGCAATCGCTAATACATTGGATTTACCGGAGCGCATGCTTTCTCAAAGAATTGCTAGTAGATTGGCGAGTTGATTTTACTTAGAAATCATTCTGTTAATGAGTGAATGAACTAATATTTATTTATTTGTAATTTTAGGGGTCTAATCGACTAACATTTGAACCGTACACTCATCAGCAAATCCAATCGATCATAACTGCGCGTTTGAGTGATACGACAGCTTTCGATGATCAAGTAGTCGAACTTGCGGGCCGAAAGGTTTGATCAGAAAATTATGAGTGCGAAAGAATTTTTTTAGGTTGCTGCAATATCAGGAGACTTGCGAAAAGCAATCGAGATTTTGAGGCGAGCTGCTGAATTGGCGCTTGACGCAAAAGCCTCTCGAGTTTCGTTGGAACATGTAAGTTCCGGACTGGCCATACTTATTGTTAACTTAATGTTTATTTATGTTTATACTTCAGGTTCAATCCTCGATTGCTGAAACTCAATCTTCGATACGTATGGGTTATTTCCAAAGTCTTTCCGAGCACGGCATCGAATTGTTTCGTGCCGCGACAACACAGGTAGCATAGAATCATAAAAAATGTCAATATATTTTTAGGTGATGACGACGGGTGTTGAAGAGTTTCGTTTTTATGAACTTTTCAAGCATTATTTATCATTTTGCGCGGGACAAGGCCTCGATGGAAATGAACTGATCGCTCGTGAAATAATATGCACATTATCCAGGCATCAGAATCCTTCCATTTAACTACAGTCTTTAAAATTTCAGCATGCGACTCATCATTGTTGCTGCAACAACAGCGCATTCTCATAACTGGTGGCATCGTAAAATGCAACTTGGTGTTCCTCTACAAGAAGCGCTCGACTTTCTCAAATCTTATAAAAACCCAGATTCTCCCTAACTCCCTAAAATCTACATATTTAACATGTTGTTTATATTTTGTTATTTGTTTCTACCTATAATTTTGCTATGCAAATTTTTTGAATAAATATTGTCTTTCTGCAAAAGTTTGGTGAAAGTGTTTCGTTCAATTGCCTACTTTCTCGTGTTTGCTCTTTCTATTCTTATTAATAAGCACCTAAGCAGAAATTGTTGGAGATGGGTGATGATTTTGAAGTTTGCCCTCCACGAAGTAAGAGGTTGAAGACTGATGTCGAAAATACAGATAAACGGGTATTGTTTAATTTTGTTAATGTTTGCAACATATCTAAAATTAGGTACTTTACGTCGTGCTCGAACAGTGTTCATTGGAGTCGGCAAAGGTAAGGTTTCGATTAGATGATTACTTACCTAGTTCAGTTTAGATTGGCAAAGACTACGTTCTGCTTGCAAGTGAAAAGCATGCCAACTTTCTTCTAAAAAATAAAAAAGACCCTGCAACTTACAGACCTGATATTGTGCATCAGGTATCTTGATAAGAGAACAAGCAAAATATTCCCTTTTAGTGTTTGCTGAATCTTCTTGATTCTCCATTGAATCGAGCCGGAAAACTTCAAGTTTTTATACACACCGATATGAATGTTCTTATCGAGGTTGATTCTTTTATTATGACTTAACAGCCAATTTTAGGTCAATCCGCAGTGCAGAATTCCCCGTACTTACGATCGATTTGCTGGTTTAATGGGTTTGAAATCTTCGAAAACTATTTGTATGTTGATATTTAGTTCAACTTTTACACAAGCTGAGTCTTCGAGCATCCGATTCTTCACAAAAGCTTTTGAATGTAAGTTTGCTTGATCAAATTTTCGATTTTCATTGGAAGCTTAGGTGATCAAAAATCCAGTCTCTGAACATCTGCCTGTTGGATGCCGGAAGATATTACTCTCTTTTTCCGCTCCAGATCTAACGATTCCGAATAAAATGGTAGCAACAACGGAAAATATGCCGATCGCTGTTGTTGTTGGAGGAATTGCAAAGGGAAGAGTATGTTTAGTCATCTAACTTTTGTGATAAAAAATTTAGATTGACACTGATTATACAGACACCGAAATGAAAATCAGCAATTATCCTCTTTCTGCAGCACTTACATGCGCGAAAATAACAAGCGGACTTGAAGAAATTTGGGGAATTATGTAGTTGCCTTAATTATTGTTTTATCATATTGAAGTACCTACATATTTTGAATTTTTAGTAGTTGTTTTTGTCAAAATAGATTTACACTTTTGTTTGTTGTTGATGTTTTTTGTTGAACGAATAAAATGTTTACTAATGAAATTTTGTCACAGTCTATTATGGGTTGATTCACTATTTACATTTTTTATGCCTTTTTGGGACGGTATTTTTTGCTAAGTTGCGCTTTTTGTGCATTGGACCGCGCCGCACATAGAGATGCGTTACGGCTAGGCTATTTGGCTGGCGTTTCATGTGAACTGTTTTGGTTGAATCTCCTGGATATACCTAGTATTATGCGTTTGCGTCTTTTTGTTTTATATAAAATAGAACTTCAGATCAATTGTCGTTTTCTGGTTGGTGGATGTCTATTCCACGGCAAGCTGGAAATCAATTCACATCCGTCGGTGCGGCATCTACTTCTACAAACGAGACAGAGGATTACGATGAATATGGCTATCAAAAACATATTTCTAAAGGAATGAATTCTCATAAAGGATTGAATTCTCGTCAAATTCGGGAAGAAATTAAGCGATTCGAGAGTGTACACCCTTGCATTTATCAGGTAAGGAGATCCGTACTGAGGCATTTAACAAGTTTCATTTAGATCTATGATATTCTTGATTGTTTGAGCGAGAACGAGAAAAAACACGATTCCTTGGGCGAGAAAAAGCACGCTTTATTGGACAATTTGGAGCAAATTCGGCAGCAAGTACTGCTAATCGAAGGTTTCTTTGTTTTATTTTATCAGCTAGATGGAAATTTTTAGATGCTTTCGTGAATTCCCATGAGTGGACGTTGAGTCGATCAGTTACGGAAATTAGAATTGTTGGTTTTAATCTGTTATTTTTTTAAAAATTTTAATCTGAAATTTCAAAATAATTTATTTAGGGGCTGATAGGTGGAAACTCCTCGGGCAAAAGTGCTTTAATTCATCGTTATTTGACAGGACGCTACACAGAAGAAGAAACTCCAGAAGGTTATTTTCTTTGTGCTAAATAATCAAGCAAATTATTTAGGTGGACGATACAAAAAGGAAGTAACGATTGATAATCAAAGCTATTTGCTCCTCATTCGCGACGAGGGTATTTCTCTACCGGATGTAGAGGTAAGCAATGCTTTTGATGAATCAAAAAGTTAAGCAACTAGTTTAGTTTGCTCAGTGGGCGGATGCAGTACTACTTGTGTTTTCCGTTGACTCGTCAGATTCGTTTGAACAGGTAAGTTTTTGTTATTATTTGTTTCTTAGTCAAAACGTTATTCCTATTAAGTATACTTTTTAGATTGATAGCTACTATGAACATATGAATCGATTTCGAAATTTATACGACATTCCGCTTGCTCTGGTTGCAACAAAGGTTTTCTTGCTTACTAGGATTATAATCAGCATTTTAAGGACTTGATTTCTTCAAGTAATCCCCGTCATGTCATGGAAAATGAAGGAAGAGAGAAAGCAAGCTGCTTTGGTAGGTACAAATTTATTTTTTGACTCGGCTTCTAATTTCTAGGCAAACGATGTCATTATTACGAAACGTCTTCTGTACATGGGCATAATATCGAGCGTGTATTTAAAGACAGTAAGCTTTCTTGAACCTTACTTTGTTAGCAACTACAGATTCAAATTACATGACTATAGTGTATTCTTAAAATTCTTAGCTATACAGGGTGGCTACAAAGTATTGCGACAAATCAAAAGGATATACCCAAATGTTAAAAGGCTAAATAAATTAGAACTTTTTTATAACAAATAAAGTCAAACAACTAAGTTTTATAACAAATTTTCGAAATGGCTGCCATCGGCTTTAATTCAAGTGTCGATGTTTTTGGGCAGTGAGGCAACGGTGCGGCGCAAGTAAGCTGGGTCTAAATCGTCCCATTCCTTGATGAGAGCTTTCTTCAAGAAATCCAAATTGTTGATTTTCCGTGTTCTCAAATGTTCTTCCAAGTATCCCCATACTGAAAAGTCCAATGGGTTAAGATCCGGACTATTTGAAGGACATTGATCCTTGGTCAGATATGATTTCACTTTGGTGTCAAGGTAAGCGATTATTGTTTCTGCTCCGTGGGCTGGAGTCCAATCTTGTTGAAAGACCATATTTGGATGTTTTTGTTTCCAAAGGAGCACAGCTTTGTCCAAAATCTCTTTTGGATAAACGTTCGCGTTGATTTTGACGTTTTGAAAATCAATTGAGTCTTCTCAGTTGCACTGATTCCGGCCCGCACCAGCAAACTTTTCGGAAACAACGATTTTGTTACAACTTTGCACTTTCGGGTATTCTTGAGAGCTGGAAATATGGAAATAGTAGTATGAAATGCAATTCCACAATGACCTTTTGATTTGCCGCAATACTTTGTAGCCACCCTGTACTGGTGCTTTAGAAGTTTTCAGCCTTAAATTTTTAAAAAACCCTAAAATGATTTAGCTGCGATCAAGGCAATAAACTATCGAGATGTTTCAAGAACGAAATATACAACGCGTCAAAATTCTTCTTTTACATCGGAAAATTCAACGATGGATTCAGTGGTTGGTTTTTTAAGATTACATCAATACCATTTGGTTTTTGGCATAACATAGTTTTAGGATACTCGAGTGGTTCCCAATTCAATGTACGCAACTATGCGACCAGCCTACCCTGAAGGGTTTGTTTTTAACATGGTAGCTCTATAGCCGATTAGTGGTCATTGTCTGCTTCAACCCTAAGCAATGGCGAAAAAATTACCTAAAATCTACTTGGAAAGTTTAGAGCGTTTCGCTCGTCATCTGCATTAATGATTCCTCAGCCTCTTCAAAGTCGGGAAATGACTTCGTCTGCATCAGGTTTCTTATTCTCAATTTTATAACTATTTGTTTCTTTGAAAATATACAATACCGTAGTGTTGTTTTAGATAGATCCATGTCGTCAAGCAATGTTCTGGCACAACGAACAGATTCACGATTTCGCTCATCAGGAAGTGCTGTTAAAAACATACAAGCCACTTACACACCAAATGGTTAGAACATTTTTCAAAAAAGTCACTTTTTTAAAGGTTTTGCCACACGTTCTTCGGGGACACTACTGGACTCTGGAACCGAAATGACTACTTCTGCAGCAGCTGGTTTATGCGCGGTAAGTTGCTTTTCTTGCTTACAAATTTTTCTTTCAAACAATGCGTTTAGACCGATGTTCATTCCGCATCAACGTCTCATCTATACGCAATGACGCCCGGAAGCACTCCCACTACTCAACGAAAGAGCAGGCGAATTTCAAATATTTTCGTAAGTGTGCGTTTATCAGCCAAAGTACGATGTTGTTTTCTGAGTGGCATAAACTGATTTTTAGAGAAAGGATAATGGTCTTGAGGATAAAAATCGAAACCTCGATGTGGGTCAAGGTCGAGCAATACCAATAAAACAGGTAAAATACTAATGTCATTTTTCTTCACAAAACATAAGCACCAAATAAAAGTGAGAACTGACGTTTTATTTAATTTAGGGTTTCCTCTACAAAAAATCAAGCAAGCCGATGCTTAATCGTGAATGGAAGAAGAAATTTGTTTGCATCTTTCCAGATGGTCGCCTAATTTATTATCCAAGTTTAAAGGTAATTTAAGAACTAAATTGATTTGTACTATTATTTTTTTAGGATTATCAGGAAAACAAATCCACTGGAAAAGCTGTTTTTCTTGGGCTATGCACCGTGCGCGTGGCCGGAAGACAGCACTCGAAGGTTTCGCTTAGACCAAACTCATTTGTTGCTTCTGCTGCAAACAATCTTTCACACACACCGGAGCGGAAGCAAGATGGTTAATTAGCATTCTGTTTGCGTGTTTATATGCAAAGTTTTCAGCTCTCTTCCATTACAATACCAAGGAAAACACATCAGGAGGCAGTGATGACGCTGGAAATTTTGTAGCCCCAGTTAATCCACCAGCTGGAACTATGCCAAACAAGAAAATGACTCGTAGAAGAGGAATTGGCACTGGAGCACGAAACGATCGAGAAGACGATCAAGGGGATTATTTTGAGGCATGTGCTAAAAGACTAAAACTAGCTTCTTCTCCAAACTAAGGCATTTTCTGAAACAATCTGGTTTTTAGATTGTTTCGCATGACCAAAAGCATTGGGAGTTTCTTGCCACATCAAGTGAGGAAAGAGACCAGTGGGTTCGGGAAGCTGAACGGCAAATTGGACGAGCACTGGAGACCGTTATGAGTGATCCAGCAGGCAAAAAGGAATCTGCTCAAATGACGAATGCAAGAGAAAACAGCAACAAGATTGAGGTAATGGGTACTCCAAAATATCTTTTTATATATTTATTTTTTAAATAGCTACTTTTTAATTCATTAAGTTTTAGGTTAGCGCAATACTGAATCATGTCGGGAATAATCGATGTGCAGATTGTGGATCGACGAGTGATGTTACATGGGTGAGTTGGAAATAGGAAGTTCATTTTTGTACTTTTTGATTTAGGTTAGCCTGAATCTTGGGATCGTGATTTGCATTGAATGTGCAGGCATTCATCGAGAGCTTGGTGTTCATATTTCACGTATTAGAAGCTTGACACTAGATAACACTTCGTAGGTTTCACCTTTTATGTATTGAATTTTATAATCACTTGCTATCCGTTAATCATTTTTTCCTCCTAAAAATAACCTCTTACTTTAGGAGCGAACAACTGGCAATAGTATTGGCTCTGGGAAACAACACGGCAAATCAAATTTGGGAGCACCATGCGCCGCGAGACGCAAAACCGAAGCCAGAAGCAAGCCGTGAACAAAAGGTAATTCTTATCGTATTCCTAAACCGCACCTCAAAATTTAAGGAAGAATGGGTCAGACAGAAGTATCTCGAAAAGAAATTTGTCGCCGCTATTCGAGTCGATGAAACTCTTGCCACTCAAGTTGTTCAGGCCGTTTTAAAAAAGTAATTTTGTTGTACTGAAAGGTATTCTTGAACATAATGATATTTTAGAGATGTAATCCAACTCTCTCTTTTGCTCACTCGTGCTCAATCAAGCGATATTAATTGCACCGTTTCTGCTACGGATTTACGCACTCCGCTGCATCTTTCTTGCTCAAATGGAAGCCTTGAAACTTTGCAGCTTTTACTTTGGGTAAGTATAGTTGAAGTTTATTAGTTTAGCTTATAACAAGTGAATAGCAAATTTTATGTCTAAATTTTTAGAATCACGCCGATCCGCATGCTTTGGATGAACACGGTCGTTCTGGGTTGTGGTATGCGCTGCAGGGAGGAAACAATGAGTGTGTCACCGTTCTCTACGCTAGTGGGGTGCCTCCCGATTATGGCCTAATAGATAACAAATACGGGGGTTAATTCTTTCATGCTAAGAAGTGCACGTATACTTTTGAGATTACGTTTAACTGAGATCAGCCATTCAAATTATTGAATTTATACTGGCCAAAGTTTGTGCTTCACATTTAGAGATTATTTACCAAATCTCATTTTGAAATTTCGCCAACGTGCCAGCTTATTGTGTGCCCAGTGAGTGTCTTGTATATCTTTGCCAAATCTGGAATTTGGTTTTGTTACCGTTTGGGCTTGTTTTTTTGTTTGTGATCTCATTTTTGGGCTTTGTTTATTTGAAATGACTAACTTGCTGTTTATTTGTGTGATTCCCTCATATCTCTTCACCTAACCCTATGCCCGATTGTTTTTATTATTTACGGAATTCGATAAGAGTACAATTTGTTTAATAAATGTTGATTGGCCTTAATTGACTATCGATCAAAACATACGTCAAAATGCAGGCAGTTTTACGATTTGAGTCATCAAAAGTCTTCGAAGAGTTTTGGTGAAAGCAGGTGAGCTTAGGAATTGGATGGGCAATCACGATTGGAGGCCTCTCCAGGAAGGCCTCGTCCTGATTGAGTCTTCTCCCTTTTATCTTTTCCTTTTCATCTCGCTCATCCCCCCCCTTTTTCTCGACTACTCGTTCTCGACTTTTCCTTTCAAAAGTTGCCGTAATACTCGACTTCTATTGCAGCTCAGGGAGAAACGACTCTAATGGTTTCATATGGTAGAATTTCCAAACCACAAACTGTTCATATGCTTTCTGTGCATTACCTATCCAATATAAGCTTTTAAATTTTAGGAAAAGGTTATTAAATTCATTTAATTGAGATCTTTTTTTGCAAAAGCCGAGAAGTCAGAAAATCGCGGTCGAGATGAACCAGTGGAAAAGAAAACCCGACAGACGACCCACTTTTGCGCCTCATTTCGTTGGCTGCACTTTTTTTTCGGGCACCCAAGTGGGAAAGTAAAAGAGAGAGTGATGAAAAAGAAGAGACGATTGGAGGATGGGCTCGAAGCCGAGTAGAAGGCAGAGCAGCCGAAGAATGTTCCCCTCACAGGATTATGCTCCCCCCGCGATATCGGTGCTGAAGGAGGGAAGGGAAGCCGAAAAGGGTGAAGGGAAGGATGGGTGGATTAGGAGGGCGGCCTGTGAGCGGGGGGACCCTTCTTCAACAACATGTAATGGCATTCGAGGATGACGGCTCTTTCGAGGGCCCTCTTTCTTTCTCTCTTTTGACTCCCCCCCCCCCGCTTTGAGAATCTTGACACAGTGGCTCGCAAATGAGATTTCGCTCCCTTCTTCTTCTTGCTCATCGTTTTCTACCCTCTTTTTTTTGACTTTATCTACATGTACTTGACGCCTTTTGAAATCTGTGACCCGCTTCTCAATCCCCATTTTTCTTAAAACTATCGTTTCACTATTGTTGCCAAAATTTTGCTTCCAAAACCCATTGCGCAACATTTTTAGTGAAGGAATTTGTGAGCATTGCACATACAAAACCAATTAGCCTTCTTTAAGCCATTTATCAATCTTGTCGCTCACACAGCAGTTTCCTTGTTTCTTTCTTTGAAAGAGTTCTTTTTACTCGGAAAATTAGAGTAGTTAACTAGAGAGAAATGGAAACATTTCTCCCCAAAAACCCAAAAAAAAAAAAAAATCCCCCATTCCGATGTCATTTTCAAGCAATTCTCCTCTTTCTCTCTTTCTATTTCTCTTTCTATTTCTCTTCTTCTCTTTAGGTTCGAGGAAATGAGAATCGAAGAGAAAGCAAAAGCAAAAGAATAGAATTCACTAGCATGAAAATGATGCATGCAATTGACAAGATGTGATGGGTGTGTGTTTATGAAGTGGCAAAAAAAAGGCAAAAAAAGGGGCCGACGCGAATCCGAAAAGGGGAAACGAACCCCTTGGAGTCTATGTGAGTGCTTTTTTTTCTTTTTTTCCCCCGTTACCCCTCTCTTAAAGCCACTTGCCATTTTTTAACGTTTTATTTTTTTTTTTTTATCCCGACGTTGCTTATTCAATGAAATCGCCGAAAATCTTTTGATTTATGCAAAACGGAAAATCGAATTTTTTTTTGGAAAACGTTTCTTGTTTCGTTTCCTTTATCCAAATAAGTCAAAAAGATGGCTCAAAGGTAATCGAGATTGCCCTGATTGAGTTCAAGTAGTTCAAACGGTTGACTGGGCGGAGCTGACTGAAGAGGAAAGCACCAGGGTCTCACTCATGAATAATGCCGTGCTCTTTCAGCGACTCTCTCTCTCTCTTTTTTTACTCTTCTCTTCCTTTTTTTCTTCTTTTCTGTTTCCTCTTCTAACCGCCCTCCATTTTGGAAAATCTTCCGCCCTTGAATGCCTTCAAAATCCCTTTTTCTTTACTCTCGGGTCCTTCTCTTTCAAATCTACCCCCTTTGATTACGTCACAATAAACTCCCCCCTAACTGAAAAGTGTTGGCAATTTGTCCCTTCTTTGCTTTCCATTCTTTTTCGTCGTTCAACACCAATCTCTTCATGATTTATGCCCAAATAGGCCACAAATTTGACTTTTCTTCTCGTTTTTTTATGAGCTTCACTGAAATCTCCTTTATAATGTTTCTTGAGATACATAGAAATGCAATGGATCGAGGGTGAGAGAGGTGGGTGATGGCGGTGGACACGGCATCGTCGCCCCCGGCGTCACGGCACTCAGAAGACTCGCCACATGAAAATGATGGAGACCTCGGGGGACAAGCATCATCCCTTCATCGAACATCATTGGCTTTACCGTTTGCGAATAGGTGGGTAATCGGTGAAAGCGATTAGACAAACAATGGGAAATTGTTGATAGAAATCGGTTGTGAGACTAGTGAGCGATTTCTTAAAATTCTGAATTTAAATGAGTTGAACAAAGGAAAAAACGTTACACTTTTTGAAAGCTTTCTAAAACGGATTCGCTTTTTTCTTGATTAGAAGTAAATTGAGATTTCTTCGTTTTTCTTGATTACAAACGAACAAATCTGAATTTACGAATCAAGAAATCCAATTATCTATTATATCTAATAAGAGCAGTTTAAAAAGTAAAAGCTGAAAAGGCACGACTGGGTGTCGAACCCTGATCGTGCGGGTGATAGAAAAATGTCCTCTTCACTGCGCCATGTTAGCCTCAGCCGGCTGACCGGAAAAACTGGTTTTGAGTATAATTCTTCCAAAAATAGTCATAAGTACGAAATTTTCTTGATTTTCATGCCTAATTTCTGCCTAATTTCAAGCCAAGATTACCTTTACTTTTTCAATTCAATTTAAAATGCACTCAAGTTTAGACAACAACTCCGCTCATCACTGATCAAGCATGGCACACGGGGAAAGAATGCGACCAGTCGAAAAACCGTCTCTTTCTGCTCGCAAAGAGATGAGAAACGCGTGAGCAACGGTGAGCTCTCCGAAAATTTACCTCATTTCTTTTCATCAGTATTTAATGCATTTGATTGATGAGCGCGGTTTTAAAACGCAAAAATTTCATCCTAAAATACCAGCTTTCATCGAGAATAATTGGGAACGAATCTATAATTTATGAGCGACGGAGAGGTCATTTTGATGGGATGGGTCTCTCTGTGGGTTTTTCCCTTTTCAAGAGGCTTTTTTTTTTCTTGTTCTTTCTTTCTTTCTTTCTTTCTTTTTTGCATTCTAACGGGAGCAAAATGCCCAATTTGCCAGCCATTCACGGGCTTTCTCCATCTTTTTTCGAGGACTGAATCCTCTCTTCACATATTTGAATGGGGTCCCGTTGCTTTTCGTAGAACACTCGAAATCCCATCTTTTTCGAGTTTCTTATCGAGTAAAAGAAAAATGGAAGATAAACAATACAAAGAAAAACAAAGAAAGAATGAATTTTCAGTGAGTGACTGTTGGCAAATCATGCAAAACGGCACAGAAATGGTGAAGTTGCGCGGCAACGTGCGACAGTTTAGACGCTTTTTCAGGTAAAAAGGAAAAGAGAGAAGGAAAAAAAGTGACAAGGGAAATAAAGCTTTAAAAGGAAACACGTTTAAAAGATCTTAAAGTGAATGTCTAGAGGGGGTGGGACAAATGCGCACCTTTTTTTTTGCTGAAAAAGGCCTTAGGAAAGGTCGTAGAGCTTCGAAAATGTATGGAAGGGAATCGTATGCGTAGATTCCGAATTTCGACAAATCAGACCTCGCTGACACGTCAAATTTGGGCTAAAAGGCAAAAACTGCGGAAAAGCGTTAAGTTGCGTAGTTTTTGCCTTTTAGCCCAAATTTGACGTGTCAGCGAGGTCTGATTTGTCGAAATTCGGAATCTACGCATACGATTCCCTTATACGGAAATATTTTCGAAGCTCTACGACCTTTCCTAAGGCCTTTTCCAGCAAAAAAAGGTGCGCAAATGTCCAGGTGCGCAAAAAAAAGGTCGCATTTGTCCCACCCCATGTCTAGATCATGATCTAGAAGAATCTAGAAATGATTTCATTAATTTCTAGCAGAATCTAGAAATGAATGATCTAGCAGAATCTAGAAATGAATGAAAAGCTAGTGTTAAACAAATTCAATGAAATACCAAAGAATCAATGTAAAATTCGTAAAACAGAAATGGAACCAAAAGGATAACTTTATTGATGTTTAAATCTAAGAAAAATAAATCTTCATATCGTTTACTAACAAAAAAAATGATCAAATTACATTTTTAGATTCTTATTTTCAGCTTAGATGCAGATCTTTCATACATTCGATGGCATCCCACGAACAAGAAGCCGCACAAAGCTCGAAGTGGGATTTCTTTTTGAAAGTAAAGACGATAAAAAGACGATAAATGTTCAAAAATCTAGAAAAATCTAGGAAAAATCTAGGAAAAATCTAGGAAAAATTCCTAAAAAAAGTTTCAGTTTGCGTTGATGAGATCAGAGAGATTCGAGTGGGAAGAAACACGGAATTGCTTCGCGCATCCGAATCAGCACTCGCTGATCTACAGGTTTTCACATTTAAAATAAGAGATTTAATCAAATAAAACAAGAGATAGAATTAAATTGTTCAATTGAATCAAATTGTTCAATTGAATCAAATTGTTCAATTGAATTAGATCGTTCAATTGAATTAGATCGTTCAATTGAATCAGATCGTTCAATTGAATTAGATCGTTCAATTGAATTAGATCGTTCAATTGAATTAGATCGTTCAATTGAATCAGATCGTTCAATTGAATCAGATCGTTCAATTGAATTAGATCGTTCAATTGAATCAGATCGTTCAATTGAATCAGATCGTTCAATTGAATTAGATCGTTCAATTGAATCAGATCGTTCAATTGAACCAGATCGTTCAATTGAACCAGATCGTTCAATTGAATCAGATCGTTCAATTGAATCAGATCGTTCAATTGAATCACAACCTCTCGATATTGTCTTTTCAGGAAGAATGCGCTTTTTCAATAATTTATGGAGAAGATTTCGCAACACTTGATCTAGTAGCCGTGAGCGCTGATCACGCAAATATTTGGGTGACTGGCCTCATCGCACTCACACAAGCTAGACACAGTTCGTTTTCTTATACGAGTCAAAGAGAATTCGACTTTGAAATACTGACGTTTCTTCTTAAAAAGGAATTTTTTTTTTTAGATGAAAAACCTTCAAGTACAGCCTCTATGGCCACTTTGCGTGAACGGTTAGCATTTTTTAAATGTTTTTAATGTTTTTAATGAGATTCTTTTAATTTAAAAGAACGATAAGCATTTTAAACTTTTCTTTAGCTGGCTAGAAACTCTTTTTGATGAAATTGACGCAGAAAAGAGTGGAATGGTCAATCATGAACTTCTTGTTCAACTTATTATAAAAGTAAGCTTAAAATTTTCATTAATAGATTATTCCTCTTTTTAGATTTCTTCTAGGATGTTAGTTTCACGAATTCGACATAAAATGAAAGAGATCTTGGCAGCGAATGGGAATGCTGAAGTGGTTGGAGGGAAAGTCTCGAGAAACGATTTTGTTGAACTCTATAAAGAGATAGCTACTAGACCTGAGGTTACGAATTTTAGCTGAGCTTTTAAAGTATCCATTTAAGATCTATTTTTTGATGGTTCGATACGCTAACAAAGATTACCTCTCGTGTCAAGATCTACGATTGTTTCTAGAAACAGAGCAAGGGGTTTCAACAATTTTAAAAACCTTTACCCTTTTCATTTTCAGATGATGGGTGTAACTACGGACTATTGCGAGCGTTTAATCGAACAATTTGAGCCATCACCAGAGGGACGACAACGACGGCTTATGACTGTTGATGGTCGGTGATTTGATTTTGAGATTCATTCTTTTGTGATTGCTTTCCAGGATTCACACGGTATTTGCTTTCCCCTGATTGCTCTGTTTTTGACCCGTCTCGTTCTCGTGTTTGGATGGATATGAAACAGCCCTTTGCTCGCTATTTCATCGCCACATCTAACCGAGCTTATTTGGTTTGTAATTGAAAGTAAAACTAATTTATTTTTTTTAAAAACAATACAGACAAAGGTTACGATACTTGTGGATCTTGCAGCTGGATACTTTCTGGAATTGATTGTAAGAAAATTGAGGGATGTGCAAGATCCATATATCAAGTGTTCTAGTTAAGAGTAATGCTTATAAGAATATTTACCGTAAATACTGTAATAGTACCCCAGCCTCCTCGTACAGTCGCGTAGTCGCTAGTCGCTAAAATCGCTAAAGTTTTTTAGTATTTCATTTTTTTCAAAGCGCCCGTACTTTCAAAAAATGCGTCTTTAGTATCAAAAAATAGCTGAAATTCAGGGCTATTTTTTGATATCTAAACGAGGATTGTACCATAAACCAGTGTCGAGAAAAACTCGTTCAAAGCTAGACTACGCAACACTCCGCACCGTCACTATCTTTGGCATCAAAAAAGCTTCTTTGATATCAAAAAATAGCCCTGAATTTCAGCTATTTTTTGATGCCTAAGTGCACATTGTAGCATAAAGCAGTGTCGAGAAAAACTCGTTCAAAGCTAGACTAAGCAACACTCCGCACCGTCATTATGGGGGTGGGGTACTATTACAGTATTTACGGTAGTTATAAGTTAGTTTAGGTACTTACTTAGTTACCTAGTTATGGAGTTACTAGTACTGCTTGTTTCCAGGTCGAAGATCAAGCAGGTCCAGCCAGTGCTGACGGGTACGCAAGTGCTCTCAAAAGAGGGTGTCGCGTGCTGGATGGTTTGTTTTTAAAAGCTACATTACGGAATAACACTTTAAAAAAATCCTTCAGTAGACATATGGGATCCTGTAGAAGAGATGGAGGAAAGAGAACCGCATGTAGCCGTGTCAGCTCTTTCGCCGAATCGGATTCCTCTACCCGACACTCTTCGCACCATTCGTGAATGCGCCTTTGAAATCACCCGGTTTGTTGAATTTGATGAATTTGATAAAGAGTTACGAATCAAATCTCTAGCTATCCCCTTTTTCTTCGTCTTTCTTTACATTGCTCTGTGGAATGGCAGAAATTCGCTGTTTCTCAAGTGACACAGGTTGGCAAAAGATTGTAATGAATAGCTTAAAAGCTTTAGATCTTGAATCCATATTTGTATGATCCACGAGACGAATACTCACAATGGGATCTTCAAAAATGCGAACCATCACCCTGGGATTTTCTCAACAAAATCATTATCATTGTTAGTTGTAAAAAAAGAGATTTGATCTGAGCTTTTAGGGAAAAAAACTAAATGGGAACGAAGCTGAAGGAGAAGTGACAGATGATGATGAGAATTTGCCAACTTTATCTAGAGGAAGGGTTTGTGAATCTTTTTATAAAATAAAATAATAAATAAAATAACAAATAGAATAACAAATAAAATAACAAACGAATAAAATAATAAATAAAATAATAAACAAAATAGTAAACAAAATAGTAAACAAAATAGTAAATAAAATAGAAAATATTATTCAGAAAAGGGTTGTCACTTTGTGTCGAGAGGCGTCTGATCTGATCGCCCCATTCTCTCACCAAAAACATATTGGCGATCTTCTTTCAACAGCGCCTAATTCGCACACATGTAAGCATAAAATCCGGCTAGGATTAGCTAGAAAACCCTTTGAATTCAATTCAATTCGAAATCGGCAACGAAAAGGTTTTGATATTTTCAGTGAAAAAACGGGAACACCAACCTTGTCTAAATGAGGCAACGGCTTTACGCTTAATGCACACTTATCAACCCGAATTCATGCAAGCAACTCGAGATTATGCAATTCGGTATCGTTTTTTTATTATTATTAATTTAATTTCAAAAATGTATATCTGATATTTGAAAGATAATCTTTCTAGAGTCATTCCAAACACGAATCGAGTCGACTCATCGAATCTAAACCCTCAAGAGTTTTGGAATTGCGGTGTACAGATGGTGGCACTCAACTACCAGACACCTGGGCTCATGATGGATTTACAAGTAAGATTTTTTGAATTATTAAGCTGAAAAGGAACAAAATGATAGAAAGTCTAATCAAATACCGTATTCTCTCTAATAGAGGCGCACTCTTTAATAGTATTGCGGTCCAGGAGGGGGTTCAAAAAATAGTAGTGCGCACTACTATTAGAGAGAATACGGTATTCAATCAATGCTTTAGGAGGGAAAGTTTTCGGAGAATGGCGGTTGCGGATATGTGCTAAAACCATCGTGTATGTTGGATGAACTCTTTGTGCCTGGCGACAAATTACCAACTCAACCACAGGTTTGTTTATCAGAAAACGAAGAATAAATGTTTCAGGTTGTGCATTTGAGAATCGTTTCCGGTCAACAATTGCCGCGTCCACGAGGCTCCACCGCTAAGGGTGACTCCGCGGATCCATTCGTTGTTGTCGAGGTTCAGTTTTTTTTGTTTTAAAACGATAAAATAGTTATAGATGTTTGGGGTTCCGTCCGATTGTGCAGAGGAAAGAACGAGAACAATTAAAAATGACAGTAAATATACGATACTTTTCGCAGCGTAAATGTCAATTTTAGGCGTGAATCCTTGTTGGGACGAGTCATTTCAATTTCAAGTGAGCGTTCCGGAAGTGGCACTTGTTCGGTGAGTAATATTTAGCGTTATCGATAAGAATTCGGCTTCAGATTTCTCGTGCTTGACGATGATTTTATCGGTGATGATTTTATTGGCCAATACACGCTTCCTTTTGACTGCTTGCAAGCGGGTAAGCTGTTTGCAAGCGCACAAATATTTTCTGTAAATCGCTATCGCACTCTGTACATTTTATAATATACAAATTACTGTAGAGAATTTACAGGTTATCGACACATTCATCTGCGAAACAATGAGGGTGATCCACTCGAGAATGCGACTCTTTTTGTGCATATTGCTGTGACGAATCGACGAGGTGGAGGAGTGAGTCTAAAATAGGATTTTAATATGATTTTCTTTTTCTAGAAAGCAAAACGACGCGGAATGAGTGTGAAAAGGAAAGCACAACGAGCACAAACGGGAATAAAACTCGTTGGGATTAAGGTATGCGAAAAAAAAAGTCTTTTGATAAGCAAGATCCCAAAAATTAACGATCAACACTTGTAACAAGATTGAAAAAACAAACTTTAACGACAATTAGAAAGCTTTTAGTCTGTGGATGATCAGTTTAAAGAAGCGGTGACCCCGTTGACCGAGAGCATTGATATGAGGACGAAGCTTGAGGAAGCAATGGTAAGAAATTAACGATCAAGACTTGTAACAAGATTCAAAAAAGCAAGCTTTAACTTTAATAACTGGGTCGCCTCCGTTCCCTTCCTATTTGCACTTAATTTGCGTCGCCTTTTCGTCGCCTCCGTTCCCTTCCTATTTGCATTTAATTTGCGTCGCTTTTTCGTCGCCTCCGTTCCCTTCCTATTTGCACTTAATTTGCGTCGCTTTTTCGTCTCATTCTCTTCCCCGTTCCTCAAATTGCTTTTTTTTGTTTTTCGAGAGAAGTTTTGGGTTTGGAGTTTTACCTTCATTCTTTCGGGATTTAATGTTTCTATTCATGCGCACGCTGTCTTTGTAATGGATATCATTGCTTTTTTTTTGTTCTGTACCGTAAAATTATAAATTCGATTCCAGGTCGAGTGGCAAGAAGAGTGCGGCTTGGGGCCAGCGGGAACGATTCGACAAGGGATTCGACTCCTTCATTCACGGATTGCATCTTTTGGCTCGGGTAATATTAAAAAACATTTATATTCTGTAAATAATACACTTGCTTTGAAAAACTTGACAAACTTTATTCTAGGATCTCCACCCACAACTCCGGCAGTCGATGCGGAAAGCCGAACCTCGACAGAATCGCCGATCGTCTTCCACGTGGACGCTGATGAAAAAGGGGTTTGTGCATAAATTTTCTGCACTTATTTGTCCCAATAATAACACAAAATAAAGAAAGTTTTTTAGTATCCATTGATTGTGATCACTGGCCAGCTACCCGAACAACTCAGCCGACCGATCGAGCGCCTTTGTGCACTTCTCACGATTTGTGGAGAAATTCTTACAAACGCTGACTCACTTCTTTTAAAGGTTAAGCGAGTTTTGAAAGATGAAAACCATTTTTTTTTAGATCGAAGACTCAATTCGACGGATACAGGACAGCCATGACGATTTGGAGCGATTAGCGGCAGAGGCCGGACTTCGCGGGCTCAAAGTAGTGATATCAGAAAATTGTAAAATTCTATGGGGTTTTATAGGCGACTCGGGCTAACGAAAATTTTACTTGGAATCTACGATTGCTCAAAGCTCAATTGGGGTTAATGGGGAAGAGTCAAGATGAGGCGAGAGGAGTCGCGAGACAGGTTCGGCTTAGACAAGTAACTTGAAAGTAAAAGATTGCAGAAAAAAAAACGATTGAATAACTTTAATTTGAATAAGTACGATTGAAAAGCTGTGAGGTGCAGTATTTTTGATAAAGCTTTGACAATGGAGGGAAGATTTTTACACTCTTTCAGGTGTTCGAGACGGGAGCTGTGCTAGGCGTGTTGGCGCCTCGTCTCCAATCGGGTCGACGTTTCTCCACTCTCGTCCCAAATCCACACGATGTCTCACTCTAAACGCTGTCAGCAAAAGGCAACACCAATGTTAAAACACTTTTCTCGTATAGGATTCATTTCTAAATTTGATGATCAATTCAAATTCTGCCTCTTTCAGATGAACAAAAGAAATTTCTCCAAAAAAGACCACTCCCCCATTTGATTCCATAGTCAATCTCTAGATCTCTTACCTCTTTTCAATTCTATATTTTATAGGTTTTACTTTTTTTTTCAAACTGTTCTTATTGTTTTCAATTCCTCGCAAAGTCTCAACTATTCGATTCGCAATATCCGGTGAAAGTCTTCCAGAAATGTTTGTGTGTGTGTGTGTGTGTGTGAAAAATTGTGAAAATTTTTTAAATCTTCTCAAAGAGCGCAAAAAATTGACTCTTGTCGAGTTTTTGGGTATTTTGAATGAGCCGTCATTCTTTTCAGGTCTATAACTTTGTTCAGAGATAATATTTTTTTTTGTTATATTATATAGTTGTATTGGAAAAATTTCAGGGTTTTAAATGATACCAAATAAAGTTTAATTGGATTTTTCATTCTTATGAAAACCAGGCGGCACGCCATTCGAGTTGGATCGGCCTCGTTTGCTCAGTGTTGGCTTTGATTTCTCAGAACAGAATTATCCAATCAAATTTTATTTGGTATCATTTGAAAGCCTGAAATTTCTCTAATACAACTATATAAAAGTTAACAAAAAAAATATTATCTCTGGAAAAAGTTCTAGGCTTGTAAAGCTCGGTTCATTCAAAATACCCGACACGACAAGAGCCAAAAATCTTTAACGTTAAAAGAATAGAAAGACGCATTTGTACACACAAAATCTACCTTTTTTTCAGATTTGATCTCATTTTTTTTTGAAAAGTCTAGTGTTTTTTTTTAAAATTTCGGTCGACTTTGGTGCTAAAATGTTTGTTTTTTAAAAGATTTTGTGTTGTGTCTTTTTTATGTAGCATTTTTTATGATAAATCTATTTTGAATCAAGAGCAATGCTTGAAACAGTAAGCAAATGAGACAAACAGAACTGAAACTTGTTAAAGTTTTCAAATTTCTAATGGTTTTGAGTGAGGAAATCTTGATTAGTTTTAAAATCGTTCTGTAGGATTTGAGTTAACTACCGCATTGGAGACGAAAGTGATGCGAGGCATTTGAAATGGATCAGCTCAAGGGGAGAAGGGGACAAGCGCGCTACTCACTATGCTAAAGTTGAAAAGGTGAAAATAACGAAAATCTACATAAGAAAACTAGCAAGCGAGTTATTTTAACATCTACTATATAAAAAATGAGTGTCTGTCTGTCCGTCCGTTTGTCTGTCTTTCCGTTCCGTGTCTGTCCGTTTGTCTGTCTGTCCGTTCCGTGTCTGTCCGTTTGTCTGTCGTCCGTTCCGTGTCGTCCGTTTGTCTGTCTGTCCGTTCCGTGTCTGTCCGTTTGTCTGTCTTTCCGTTCCGTGTCTGTCCGTTTGTCTGTCTGTCCGTTCCGTGTCTGTCCGTTTGTCTGTCTTTCCGTTCCGTGTCTGTCCGTTTGTCTGTCTTTCCGTTCCGTGTCTGTCCGTTTGTCTGTCTGTCCGTTCCGTGTCTGTCCGTTTGTCTGTCTTTCCGTTCCGTGTCTGTCCGTTTGTCTGTCTGTCCGTTCCCTTTCTGTCTGTCCGTCTATCTGTATGGACTTTTTCTCAGCCGTCTTTGAGAGTGCCATATAAAAAGTGAACTTTTTGGCTGAATATCAGTAGAGTTTAGTTTAGTTAATCTTTATCTCTTTTCACCTTTAATCCAGAGGTGCTTGAGCAATCTTTAAGATTACTCTAAGATCTAGAGATTGCTCAAGAACTCTCCACGAATTCTGACAAAACTCCGCCTCACTTTATGATGTATAAAAAGCCTTGCACGTGTATAAAAGCATTTTCCAAATCTTGCTTAAATATGTTATTTAGAAAAAACAAACGTGAAAAGAATTCAACAAAATAAAACGCATTCCGGAGTAAAAAGTCTTTTTGTTTTTGTTTTATTGTTTAGTTCTCGATTCCGAGGAAACCTTTAGCGAGGGTCTGCACTTTGTCGCCTGAAAGATCAAAGTAATACAGTAAATCTTTGAAATCTTGTAAATCTTTTAATATAAAATAACAGTTTACTCACTCTTGATCACACTGGTGAGAATGGGGAACTTGGCACGGAAATCCTCCTTGGCCGCCTCGGGAAGAGCCTTGAATTTGGCGATGAACTCCTTGGCTTTGGCCTAAAAAAATATGTTTTAAAGTGCAATTTCCTGAGCTTGATAGTAATGAGGTCACCTTGAGCTCCTCAATGTTGGGCTTGTTGCCACCAGCATACTCGCCATGAGTTTTACGAATCTCGGCAACCACCTAAAATTCCGTCTCTTCTCCGTTGTATTACCTCTTTCTTCTCCCCTAGATAGAGACCGGATGGCTCAGTGGTTAGAGCATCTGTCTGGCACTCGGTTCAGGTTGTGATAGGTGGGGGGTTCAATCCCGTCTACGGCAATATTTGTTTGCCATTCCTTACTTGACTTTTTTAGATGTAATAGATGTCAAAATAGAAATTTTAGAAGTAAAATTACAAGATTAGAAACACTTTTTAACCAGAATATGTTTTTTACCTCCTTGGCGAAAGCCTTGGCATCATCTTGGAGTGAGTTGACCTTGTCCTTAACCATATTGTGCAACTTCACGACTTTCTCATGAGCGGATGGGCTCTTTTCCTTGACGGCAGCCAAGATCTAAAATGTTAAGAGTTATATTACTTACATTCAGTTCTAAGCAAAAACCAACCTCATCCTCATTGTTAAACTCCTTGTAACGAGCGGCGACTCCTCGAAGAGCTTCTTTTTCCTCAGCGGTCAGCTCCTTTATCACCGAAGCCACTTCCTCGGGGATCAACTCTGAAATTTTAACTCGTTTTGTTTATTTCAATTTTTTTTTTGCAACCTCTGTATTGAGCCGGGATTTCATCGAGCGGGTGGTTGGCTAATGCTGAGCCCAAAAAAAGAAAAGCCCCAACAATCACAACACTCGACCTCATTGTTTTTCTGTTTCCTGAATTGGGGTTTTAAAATAGAATTTTCAAAGAGTAAGATCTAGAGGTAAAAGAGAAAGTGCGAAAAGGAGTGCTGGACTCGACCGAGGGTGGGCAGTGAGCGGCAACTCCACCCTAATGGACACAACAGCCGTGATTACAAATATCGTTCGCCCCTCCCCGTTGATCTCTCGTTTGATAGGTGCTATTAAATTTTCCCTCCTCGTTCATTAAACCCATTGAACGGGGAATTGAGAAAGAGGATAAGGGAGAAAATAAGCAAGAAGAAAGAAGAAAAAGATTTTGAGGAACATTATTGTAAATAGGATTTGCTTTTGTGCTGTAGAACTGTAAGTTTATTGTTTAAGTTTTTTGGTTTTTCTCGGAAATCTGCGTCGAAAAGCTAACTCTTGAGGTTCTAGGATTCTGTAAATTCACAAATCTTTAACAGATTTTGGAGAACATCAACATCAGAACACATCATTATTCTGAAATAAAATGGAATAAGTTAGAGTTCAGCAAACAAAACCAAAACCAAAACAGACCAAAACCAAAACCAAAACACCAAAACCAAAACACCAAAACAAACCAAAACTCAATTTGCATATAAATTTACATGTAAATTTACAATTGTAAAATGCAAATTTGCCTTTCACTTTTTCTCACTCCACAAAATCCGGACCAAAACACGACCTCGAAATTTCGAAACAAAAATTAGCTTATGGGATAGATTTTTGGATGCTGATTTCAAATCTGCAAACAGATTTTCGCTAGCTCCTCCCAGTCGCAAGATATTGGCGAGTTTTGGTTAGTTTTGGTTTTGGTTTGTTTTGGTTTTGGTTTTGGTTTTGTTATGGTTTTGGTTTTGGTTTTGTTTTTGGTTTCCGAAGTCTAGAATAAGTTACGTGCTCGAAGCGGCCCAGCATCAGATGAACAAAAGATTTCTTTCCTTTCACTTTCCTTTCACTTTCCTCTTTTCCATGAACTTTTTTTCTCTTGCATTTTGTACTTATTGTACTTATTGTACTTATTGTTTTGTACTCTTGTATAGTTTAAGCTTGAGTTTGATTCAAAAAACTTTATTAAAATCAAAAGCAAAATTGATTATCCGTATTGTTTAATGAATGGCTTGGAATGGTGTTTACGGAGAGTTTAGTTGACAGTTCCAAGAGCTTTGCCGGCGATCTCTTGCACTTTTGGATCTAGAAATTGCATTTATATATCTATATATTTCTATATATATGTTGTGTCCGATTTAGATTTCCGTCCGATTTAGATTCAATCTAAATCGAACGTCCGATATAGACTGTAATCAATAAAAGACCTTTGAAAAATGCAGAAAACTACAGAAAACGCTTAAGAACATATATTAAGCATGTTTATATTATTGTTCAATCTATATAAGATTTAGATTGAATCTAAATCGGACCTCCGATATAGACTGTAATCTAAATCGGACGTCCGCGATAAGTTCAATCTAAATCGGACACAACATATATATTTCTATATATATTCTCTCTTCACTTCTCATATTTGAATCGGGAAAAAGAAAGAGATAACGAACTTTTGACGACGCTTGTCAAGATTGGGAATTTCTCCTCGAAATCCTTCTTCGCTTCCTCGGGGAGAGCCTTGAATTTGGCGATGAACTCTTTTGCCTTTGCCTAAAAATTGATTCTTTCTTGAGTACTATATTGTATTTCTTGAGCAATTCCTTGAGCATCAATTTCCCAGCTTACCTTTAGCTCCTCAAGATCAGGCTTGTTTCCAGAAATATAAGCCGCGTGAATTTTTCGAGCCTCAGCCACCACCTAAAATTGTAAACAATTGAGTCGTTTCTTTTAAATAATCAAAAAAGATTCCTAGTAATTGAGTAATTCTATTCTAATTGAATTTCTAGATCTTATATCTACCGTAAATACTGTAATAGTACCCCACCGCCCACGTACAGTCGCGTAGTCGCTAGTCACAAAAGTTTTTTAGTATTTCATTTTTTGCAAAGCGCCCGTACTTTCAAAAAATGCGTCTTTGGTATCAAAAAATAGCTGAAATTCAGGGCTATTTTTTGATACCTAAACGAGGATTGTAGCATAAACCAGTGTCGAGAAAAACGCGTCCAAAGCTAGACTACGCAACACTCCGCACCGTCATTATGGGGGTGGGGTACTATTACAGTATTTATGGTAGATATAAACATCAAAATATGGTACCTCTTTGGCGAAAGCTTTAGCCTCAGGGTTGAGCGAGTTGATCTTGTCTCTGACCTGAAAATCTCAAATTTATGAACGATTTTTGGTTTCTACTTTATAAATCATATTTTTATATTTATCAATCTTAGACGTTATTGATAAATAATAAATAAAAATATACCATTTGATGTAATTTGTTGACTTTCTCGTGTGTGGATGGGCTCTTCTCCTTCAGGGCGGCCATAGCCTAAAATCTTTTCGTTTTTTTTCGTCCATAGAATCTTTGATCTTCTTTCTTTTAGATATTTTTAATACTTTTAAATATTTTTTTCATATTTTATGCTCAGAACCAACCTCATCCTCATTGTTGAACTCCTTGTGACGCTCGGCAATCGCCTTCAACGCGACTTTATCCTCAGCGGTGAGATCTTTCAGAATTTTTGCCGCATCCTCAGGAATCAGCTCTTAATTTTCATCATTCATCATTAGAATTGATTTTCTGATAATCTTACCACGATATTGAGCAGGGATTTCATCAAAAGAGTTGACTGGAGCAGCCAACGCAACACCCAAGCACAAAGCCAACACACCAAACGCCGCGCGCATCATTTTCCTTTCGCCTTTCTAAATTATTAAATTTTTAGATTGTTTTGTAAATGTAAAGAATTGTAAATGTTCAAAATGAGATGCGAATTGAGATACGGGATGATGAGGGAAGTTTTATAGAGGATGGGCGGGGCTCAGATCGGAATGTGGGCCCGTTGAGCGACCAGTGGGGAGATCGGGTGATCCGCAAAGAGAGAAATGAATTCCGAAATGAATAGTGCACTCTTCTTTTCCTTGGGATCATCTAAACAATCCAAGTCTGATCAACCAATTCGATGCCTTTAGTCATCGAGGGAAACCAGTAAAAATTATGTCTTCACGTCGAGAAAATTCATGTCGTGCTCAGCTACCTTTCACTTTTTCTAAAAACTAAAGTGTACACCGTAAATACTTTAATAGAAGCCCCTTTCCATAGGAGCGCCGTGTAGTCTAAGGTTACCCTCAAACAAACGCTCATATTTCTCGACACCAGTACGTTTGTTTCTGCGCGCTTGGGTATCAAATTAAAGTAGGGAAGATGGGCGATTTTTTGAGATATTTAACTCCCTCTCTCTCGGGTAAGAGGTGCCTTGTGGTGTAATGGTTAGTACAGTTGTCCGCAGAGCAAAAGGTCGCGGGTTCGAGTTCCGGCTGCGCACGAGTTTTTGATTTTCCCTAGTTTCAACTCTTTCCTTGGTCGCCAGTTGGAACTAGGGCAGATCAAAAATCCATTCGCCGCCGGGACTCGAACCCGCGACCTTTCGCTTACCGGTCAACGGTGCTAACCATTACACCACAACGCGCCTGATTTCCCTTACTCCAGAGGGAGGGAGTTAAATTTATGTCTCAAAAAATCACCATCTTCTCTTTAATTTGTTTTTGTTACCCAAGCGCACAGAAACAAACATTGACATTGGCTTAGTTTCCCAGTTGAAAACTTTAAATGAATTAACGAACTATTGAAGAATTAAATGCTTATGATGCCCGGAGATAAGAGCTAACACTTCTAACACTTTCCACAAGAGTTATAAGACTCTTTTTCTTTAACTTCTGCTATCAAGACTATTGGGAAGGGTAAGGTACGCTATGGTTTTGTAAAGAAAAACTATCATATAAAAGTCTATTTATTCGACACGACTAATGAATTACAACAGAATGGAGGGAATTTTTACCCCTAATTACCCCTATTACCCAATGTTGTTAAGAAAAAAAAGACCCATAATAATGGGAAAAAGAAGCACTCTTTCTAGCCGCCGGGATCGAACCCTTAACCCTTTTAATGACATATTTAAAAAAAAAACTATTTCGATTAAAACGATTTCCAATAAAAGAATATCAGTGTGGATTCTGTAAGAATGAAGCTATTTTTTTCACACCTTTCCCCCTTTTTTCACCAAATAAACCCCCGAGACTCTTGCGGTCAGTTTATACATTTCATAAACAAAATGAAAAGCAAAAACGCGGCTTTATCGCAAACGATTGGCTGCATATAAAGCAGCTAGCCGAAACGTTCGTAACACATCTAAACTCAGAAAAGGAATTCTTTTCTCATTCTAAATAGGAATTCTAAACTCAGAAAAGGAATTCTTTTCGTTAAAGCTTTTTAGATTTTTTAGATTTTTTGACCTTTGATTTTTGAATGACAGTTATTTTTTTTCCCCATCTGGAATCGCAGACTTTTCAAATGACTGAACAAAAAGTGACCGGTCGTGTCTAGGAGCAGGGAAAAGGGATCAACGAGGAGAAGGACCATTTTTTTTTGTCCTTCTCCTTACTTCTCCTTTGATGCCCATTTCTTGCACACACAGCTGTGGTCATCCTTTTGATCGGAGTTGTTTAAAGCTAGAGAAAAAGAAAAGAAGCTATAGGCAAAGAAGCATCACCATCTACATACATGAGAGCCGATTCCTAGAAGAAAAACAATCTTTTATCGGTGATCTTTCGGGGAAATCGTTTCGATCAGAGCGATCTCAAAAGAAAAAAACATTATCCAAAAACAATATCCAGAAAAGAGAGATCTGATTTGCGATTGGTGATTTGCGATTTGCGATGAAAAGCCATTTGCGATGAAAAGCCATTTCTTTCTCCATTTCTTTTGCTTTCAAACTCTTCTAGATGTGGAGACTTTTTCTTCTTTCTATGAATCAACTTTACCCGGAGCAATGTCCAAACTAAAGTGGAAATCCCATAAAAAAAAATGAAAATGGCCTTTCAATGAGACAACTGTTGCGTGTTCGCCCAATTTTTTTTTCCATTCATCTCAACTTTTTGAGGCTAACAACGGATAGCATAAAAGCCCATGAAAAATCCGAGTCTCACAAAAATTCTCCACACTTGGAAGAGTTTGAAAGCAAAAGAAATGGCTTTTCATCGCCTTGCCTTGCACTTTTCCTTTTTTCATAATTTACTTTTCATTTAGCATTCTTGAGCACTCAATTTTAGGAATGTCGCGATTCGCCGTGCTCCTTTGCCTGGTTGGCGCCGCGCTCTGCGCTCCAATTGATAACTACGATGAGATTCCCGCTCAATACAAAGGTTAGAGATTCGAATTCTAGATTTTTTTCCTTTTTTCACACAAGTTACCAAAAATTTTCAGCCTTGATCCCACCAGAGGTCGCCGAGCACATCAAATCTCTCACCGCCGAAGATAAGGAAGCTCTCAAGGATGTCGCCAAGCGCTACAAGGACTTCAAGAATGAGGATGAGGTGAGTTTCGAACAAAAAATCAAAGATTCTATGAACTAAACTAAAAACTTTTAGGCTATGGCCGCCCTCAAGGAGAAGAGCCCATCCACGCACGAGAAAGTGATGAAACTTCACAACTTTATCAAGGACAAGATCGAGAAACTTCACCCCGATGCCAAGGAATTCGTCACTGAGGTTTGAGTGATTTGGGAATAACAATGAGCCGAGCTTTAGGTCACCACCGCCTTCCGCAAATTGCACTCCGATGTTCTCGGCGGTCAACAACCCAACCTTGAGGAGCTCAAGGTAAGGGGGAAAGGATAGATTCAAGCTATTTACTGCTATCTATATGCCTAAATGAAAACCGAACTTCAGGGAAAAGCCGTGACATTCGTTGAGAAGTACAAGGCTCTTTCCGAGGAGGCCAAGCAATCCTTCCGCGAACACTTCCCAATCCTCGCCGGAGTTGTCAAGGGTTAGTGCTTACATAAATACCAACTCTCAAAAATCATTTTCATTTTCAGATGAGAAATTCCAAGCTCTCGCCGGCACCCTCCTCAAGACCAACTAAACCATCAGCTTGGATCTTAGATTTTTCAATTGGAAATAAACTTGAAATTATTTTGATTTTCTCAAAAGTCAGTTGAAATATGTGCACTTTACATTCAATCAATCAAGCAGCACGTTAACAGAGTGCTGAGTTGTAACACAGACACATTTACCGATGTTAAATGAGAGGTGATTAAGGGAAGAGAGGCCAATCAAATCTTATTCACCAAAATAAATGAGTTTCGAGATGCGCAAAGAGCAAAGCAAAAGAAAGAAAGGGGACGAGATTCGAGTGTAACAGACGTGTGTCTATCCCCTAAAATCTTTTGATTGGAACTTGAACTCTTTAGGAGGGTCCGCACAAAGTTTTAAGAAAGAGCGAGAATCTGCAAACTATTTGCAATTGCAAAAACTCAAAGTTGTGCATTGTCAAAAGCTTTGACTTTGTGGAAGCTAGTGCTAGAGCATAAAAATTTACACTGTATTTTCCATTTAGCACCAAATTTATCTATAAATATACAAATTGACAAAAGTAAACTAAATTGTGGCAGACATCTAAACGGATAAATAATAAATGAGATTTATGTGATACCAGGAGAATCTTTTGTGACAGATAACACTTCCGTTAACCGTCTCCATATCGAGCATTGATCATCTCTTGAATTTCGTGGAAATTTCCTCGTTTCATCACCTAAAATGAATAGTAGATCTTTAAAAATCGGATTGGCGAATAAATAATTGAAAAATATTAGCAAAGTGTGAGCATACCTTCAATAGTTCTTCCTGTTTTCTTTTCCGGAGTCGTCGTTTCTTGGAATTGGACATTTCTTCCGGACCATTTTGCTAAAATTTCGAATTTCATATAAAAATTAAACGAATTGTCACCTCATCATCGAATTCATCGAGCATTGGGCTATCAGTTACATCTTCAGCCGTTTGTGCTCTTTGCAAATCGACTAAATCAGTCCACGATTGCTGAAAACACGCAATCACATTTAAGACCAATATTTTTTTCTAAAAAAATCAAATAATGAAAACCTACGGGAGCAGGTGAATTGTCAAAATCTGCCGGAGAGTCCATAGCGCTCGTGCCGATTTGCTCGGAGTTTGTCTAGAAATAAGGATATTATAAAATTGATGTCTATCTTCCTCACATGTTGCCCCAATTGTCCAAGAAATTGTTGTATCATATCATTAGTCTCCCCATCATCTCTAAAACCAACTTGTCAACTGCGAATTTAATATTTTAGAAACAAACCTTTGCTTTCTTTTTTCTTTCTTTCTCCTTTTCTTTAAAACCTCGCTATCTTCACTTCCAGATTTTTCAATTCTAAAATAAATGATGTACAAACTTGCTTTAAAGCTCACTTTTTATTTCGAGCATCTTTTGCCGCTTTATGTAAAGCCTGTACGTAGGCACCCTTCTCAATTGGATATCCACGAGCTTTTTCAAACGCTAAATATAAATGTTAACAATGCTTTCACAACATTAGGGTAATCAGGCAAAGCTAAACAAATATACCGTCAATTGCTTCATGAGATGACCATCCGAGCCTTTCAATAAGAAACCGGCAAATTAAATAACCGCTTCGATTCACTCCATGCGTACAATGCACTCCAATCAAAAGTTCTAAATGTTCGTTCAGCACTTTCAATAAAATTAAATAGAACCTTCATCCTCGTTGGCCAAAGTAAATCTTTTAATAGCCGAGTAAAATTGTTCAATCACTTCATCGCGTTCAACAAATCCACGTCCCGGACAGAAAATCTTCTCATATCTAAAAAAAGGTTGGAATGTTAAAAAGATAATCTTACTTACTGAACACAAACTCCTTCAAATTCTTTTCTGTCGTAATAACGCGTGGTGTCCGTCAAGTCAATCACGAGTCCCAATTTCTGACCAGTCTCTGCCAACTAAAATCAAATTTTAGTTTGTACAGGCAAACTTTTAAATGCTAAAAGGAAAGTTACTAACCTTTCTCATAAGATGCAGTGTTGTCCAGTGAAATTTCTTCGGGACTTTCGTCAAGAGTTGATAATTGAGTGGCGTTTTGAAAACAAAAAAGCGTGTGTTCGGGATCACGTTGCCCTTTTCTGTATACTTTGTCCATCTAAAAACAAAATATACAGGGTGTCCGAAAAAAAAGTGATCATCGGTTTGAGTCTAGAAAAATCTTCTCGTTGATTTCTCAAGGCTCATCGTGGTGTCAAAAATGGTTTTGCCTCAGGCGTCACACAACAAGATGAAGTTGATTTTTTTATGACTTTGTGAATAGGGGGTCATGCATCGGCCGAGAAGCTCAAACTTCAGAAATTCAGAAATCCACGTATTCAGAAAATCATCAATATCACAACTGGGGCAAAACCATTTTTGACACCACGATGAGCCTTGAAAAATCAACGAGAAGATTTTTCCAGACTCAAACCGATGACCACTTTTTTCGGACACCTTATATAAAACTCTTCTAATGTTTACTGAAAGTAATTAGAAAACTCTTATGTAGTTAACTAAAGAGAAAGACAGGCGCATTTCTTATAGTAAGTAAAGAAAAATACCCTCTGGGGACGACACGACTCGTGCGGACCATGGTGTTCTTTCTACGTGCTTCTTGGGCGTGCTTCTTGATTCCAGCCGACTAAAATATACAAGATAGATACGAGTTTACGTTAAAAAGTTAAAGAAAACGCATAAAAATCGGGGGGTTTCATTGCGGGGAGCCCTTTTTAAAAATTGAGGAATAAATAGGTTCACAAAGTCAGCGTTGTTAGTACAGTTCTGTTGTCGACAATTATAGAGGTTCAACAGCCACTTACAGTAAAGGTAGGTAACTTTATCAATGTGAGAATACTTCTAGAGAGAAAAAATGAAAAAGTGGGGGTTGGGACAAATGCTACCTTTTTTTTGCGCACCTTTTTTTCGCTGAAAAAGGCCTTAGGAAAGGCCGTAGAGCTTCAAAAATGTTTCACCTAAGGGAATCATATGCGAGATTCCGAATTTCGACAAATCAGACCTCGCTGATTTGTCAAAAAGGTGCGCAAATGTCCAGGTGCGCAAAAAAAGGTCGCATTTGTCCCACCCCCGAAAAATTGTCCCGTTTGTTCATTAAATAAAGAAATTGAAGTACGGTGAAGTCTAGAGTACGGTAGATAAATCCAAATATTTGAGGCAATTAGCCAATTGACTTCAAAATTGCTTCCTTTTGTGAAAATGTTCACTTTCAAAAGCTCAAAATCTCAAGCACTGTATGAAATATTTTATTCTATAGCCTACAACTTCGATAAAGAGCTAAGCACGCAAGCATCGTTTAAGACAAGCGCTGGTTACCGCTTCTTTTGTGCCTCAATTTAGTAGGTCTGTGTTTGCTGAGCGCTATCGTATTGTACAAAATTTCATTTACATTTTAAAACTTCATCACACACCACATTAGAAGCCCCATAACAATTCACTCGACCAATTAAATATTAATTCCAAATCCTCGCTCTTTTTCTCTTGTTGAAGCCCAACTTGAGGCTTTTTTTGTTTTTTTTTTGGCATAAAGAGCCGCTTTTTGAAAATTGGCTTCAGGTGAATAGAAAGAGGGAAAGAGGCTGAAAAAAAAGGGAAAATGATTTGTCGCCAATGGAGAAAAAGAAGAGAGAAAAGAAAAGTGAGGGGGAATGTGTGGAAATAGAACAGAAACACACACAGCACATAGATAGGCACAACAGTTAGACACTAAAACGCGTCCACCGAAAAAGGAAGAAGAAAGGAGAGAAAATACAATAGGCGCCACGTCGATTTTCAAGTCATTCGCCCGAATATGTCGTCTCCTTCTTTGTCGTTTCTTCGTCTTTGCTTTTCTCTCCCCTAGCCTCTCACACTCTTTTTCCTTTTTGAATACTTGACGGACTGTCAACTTGATCGAACATCAAATTGCTGACTTCCGTTCGCTTAATTTCGTTGTTTCAGCTTCCTTGAGCTATGAAATTTTGAATACACTGTACAATTTCATACCGTAATTCTTGTAATTAAAACCTCCTGATTCCTGGTCATTACAGAAAATACGTTAAATTCTTTTCAAAACTCTAATAAAAAATTTTTCATATAAAATGTTTTCTCCAGCATTGCCTAGAAAATCAATTGTAATTCTTCAGACAGTCAATAAATGCTAAAAAGGCCAACCGAATTTGATGAGGCGCCGTTCCTTTCAAAAAAGCTATGGAGCAAGTGAGTGATTATTCTGAAAAGGATATTAAATTTTACCCAAAGAATACGATCATCAAAACTAGTGAAAAAAAATAGTCGGCATTAACACAAAACTCTCCGTGAGACACTTAAAATATCTAATTTTCAATTAGAACGGAAACCCGATTATGGACAGCGACACTTTTTACCGGAACATGTATGTTGTACGCATCTCGAATTGCTCTTCCCATTTGTGCGGCCGTCATTTCACTCGAGTACGGTTGGAATAAAACCGATTCGGTAAGAAAGAAAAAAAAATGCTATGCTAGGAAAACGATACCGTAAATACTGTAATAGTACCCCACCGCCCTCGTACAGTCGGGTAGTCACAAAAGTTTTTTAGTATTTCATTTTTTGCAAAGCACCCGTACTTTCAAAAAATGCGTCTTTGGTATCAAAAAATAGCCCTAAATTTCAGCTATTTTTTGATACCTAAGCGCGCATCGTAGCATAAACCAGTGTCGAGAAAAACTCGTCCAAAGCTAGACTACGCAACGCTCCGCACCGTCATTATGGGGGTGGGGTACTATTACAGTATTTACGGTAGGTTAATTAATGAATTTGTTTTTTTTGAACGGAAACGGAAATGAAAAGAAACGAAAAAAAACTTTCTGAACAGCTCAATATCTACAGTATTGGACAATGAAATATCATATTTGAAAAAAACGATCGTCACTTTCGTCACTTTCGCGCGTCTGTAACTCCCTTGTCTTTGAGTTTAAACTATTAGTGTTATACACTTTCTGAAAGCTCTTTTCAAAGGCTACACAATGGTAATATTAATATTTAGAAATACGGTAAAGACAAGGGAGTTATAGACGCGCGAAAGTGACGACCTTTTTTCAAATATGATATTTCATTGTCCAGTAGTGTATCGACAGTTCATATCCTTTTTATAGGGAACCATTTTATCCTGCTTTTTCTGGGGTTATGCGATCACGCAACTGGTAGCCGGCGGATTTGCTGATGCGTTTGTTTAGGAATATTGTAGAAAAAAAGTGTTCAAGGTTTCAGTCATGGTGGTGAGCGCATTTTGCCAAACACATCTTTTGTTTGGATTCTGTTGACGATTTTTACGCCACAGATTTTCGACTTTGCTTATTGGAGCGGTTTTCCTTTTACGATTTTGTTAATATTCAGAATAATTTACGGAGTAGCACAAGGTGAGTTGAAAAATAAATATGTTGTGTCCGATTTAGATTTTCGTCCGATTTAGATTACAGTCTATATCGGACGTCCGATACAGATCGAACAATAATAAACGTGCTTAATATATGTTCTCGGTTGTCTGTGATCGGTTGTCTGTGAACGTTTTTAGACAAGCTATCAAGCACATCTATATAAGACGGACTAAATCGGACGTCCGCGATAAGTTCAATCTAAATCGGACACAACAAATATAAAAAGAATTATTGAAAATTTTGAAGGTTTTCACGTGCCATCAATGGCTTCAATCGTTTCTCGACATCTCACAACAATCGATAAAGGCAAAGTATTCGGTTTTTGTCTAGCGGGATCACATTTCGGGTAGGGGGCATTAAGGATTTCTGCAAAAACAATTCAGAACCGTGCTTGCTGGTGTCGTCGGGTCACTGTTGCTTGAATGGCTTGGTTGGAGAGTTCTTTTTCAATTTCTCGGTAAAACAAAGTAAAACAAAGTAAAATGAAGCGAAAATGGAATACAGGTGTAATCTCATTGCTATGGTTTTGGTGGTTTCGAGCTCTTTTGATTCATGTCGCAGATCCTCGTACGAATCATACAGATTCCGATGAGGAAACGAAAACAACAAAGCCTCAAGTAAGTCGAAAAATCTGCAATGAATGGTGCAAGACTTTGTACTTCTAGACTGCAAGACTTAGCCTAATAGTCAACGATAGGCTCAATGATATCAGGGAAATTTAGAAAGAAGAGAATGGAGTTATGGCAGGAATACACAAGACCACCCAAGGAGTTCCCTGGGGAGTACTTCTTCGACACCCAGCCTGGTGGTAGGTCATTGCTAATTGCCGCACTCATAAAATCCCATAGGGCGGCTGCATTCGCCCAGTTCACCGGTGGATATGCCTACTTTACAATGTTCAATTGGCTACCTTCATACTTCCACGAGAATTTCCCATCTGCTAAGGTAAAACAAAGGAAAGCGAATGTCACAAATGAAAATTTTATTCAGGGTGTCGTCTACAATGTTGTACCATCAGCAGCAATCGTTACTACGTCAATGATTGCACCTTTCATAGCAACACGCCTAATCTCATCAGGATATTCATTGACGGCGACTCGTCGAATTATGGAAGTAAGTTATATTGGACCAAAAGTGACACTAACATTCTAGGGAACATCTCTATGTGGCTGTGCGATTCTTCTTCTATTAGTGCCATCTACACATACATTTCCGATGGCTCTCCTCGTTTTTACATTAGCGATGGCAGCTCGAGGACTTCACCACGGAGGTGTTTCTGTAAATCCACACGACTTTGCTCCGCATCACACCGGCGCCGTTTTTGGTTTGTCGTAAAAAAATGTGCTTTTTCAAGAGGTTTTTTAGGTATTTTCAATGCATTCGGGGCGATCACTGGATTTGTTGGGGTTTATGTAGCTGGCCATATTTTGGAGGCAACAAATAATAATTGGGGGTAATACTCGTAACTCTGCAAACCTATACCAAAAACAAAACACTTTAGATACGTTTTCGTAATAACCGCGGTTCAATGTATTCTCGGAGCAATAGTTTACGGGAGCTATGGTACCGGTAATAAAATAATTTGAAGCGTTTATCTTACAAGAACCAGTTAAACTAACTTACGGGTTATCAGTTTTGCATTTAAAAAACCCTTTTGTGACTACCTTTGATAATCAAATTTTTGTTGAAAAAATTGTGATACTCAATTTTGCCATGGTGAATATTCGTTGTGATACGCTTTCTTTGCCGGTCTTTTTTATCTCGTTTCTTCTATTTAGAATTTTTATGTAATTGCATGCAAAGTTACTTACAATTAGCTTATTGCATTCAAAATGCTCTTGAAGGTTTTTCTGCGCAAGTTGAATTTGTGAGAGTTTCATATAAATTTATTTCAAACAAAATTTGAAAGGTCACTTATGAGATCACAATCGAAGATTCAGAAACAAAAGCCTAAACTCGAAGATTCAGATTAAATCCATCGGCCTTTCCATAGATCACATCACTTGGCTCCCTAAAAATAACACGTAACAATGTATTACTTCTTGCTAAATAACCATTCAACGATTTCTTTTTTCTGTTGACATCTTTCAACCCAGACACCATCGATCACAGTCCATCTTGAATGTAAAACATTTCTTTTACAAAAAAAAATGTTTCTTACTTAGCTTCTTTGACTCTTTTTGTGGTTTGCGGAACAGCCTTAGCTTCGGCTACCAAAAAGTTCGTGCCTTCATCTAAAAATGTTGACTTTTGTAAAATTGTAAAACCGAACCTGGAATCAATTGAACTTGAGCACCAAAACTCTTCAGAATTTCAATAAGAGTTTTGTAGCGCTTATCGTTCTTTCCTGGAATTACGCTTACAACAACACCATCCAGACTGTTGCTATGCTTCACAACTTTTGCAACTGTTGCTGCTAAATGGCCGGATTGTAATGTACCACGCAAAAAAGTTCGCCTACCGCCTTCTGAAGCAATTTTAGTCTTTGACAATGCCACTTGAACTTTTCTTTTTCGATTTGTCCTCGCCATCTCCGCTTCGGCATCCAATTCGGGTAAATGACCACTTTTTATCTTCTAAAACATTGAAACTTGAATCACATAAAAACATCGTGCATACGTCCTCCAATCGCTTGAAATCAAGGTATGAATCTATAGTCTTGACATCTTTATCATCTCTTAACCGAATCATTCCAGCATGTTGAAGTGCGCCACCCTGTTTTCCCGCACATCTCACCTCAACAACCTAAAAGTAGAGATATTTTTTAATTATTGTAACGTTCATTCAATATCCGTTCGCTCAATTTACCAATTTATACGCAAATATAGCGGAATACCTGAAAATCATCCCAATCACGAAAGTATCCACCATCAGCAATATCGGAACCAAAAACTCCGGCGGGTGGCGATTTTAAAAGGTTCCCCATTCTGGTAGCTTCATCGATGATCCAACGACGTTCATTTTGCGTTAATCCTTAATCAAGACTTCATACATTTGAAAATAATTTATACCAGCTCCAACTGCTCCTATGACTTTAAGATCAAAGCTGGTATCCTCTTCAAGTTCCTCTTTATCGAAGCGAACTAAACAGGCTCCCATTAGAAAAAAAAACTAAAACGCCACCAACGTCTTTTGACAGCGATCACTAACTGTTGTTCTCGAGAGGTCCCTTCATATTTTACTCCGACAACGGCAACA